AGATATTTTTGTAACTAGGATAAATGAATTTTTCTCATGAAGCTAGCTTTAAACTAGTGTTTGACTTGATTATTAGCTTTCATGTAGCTCTGTAATCCTCCAATTGAAAGGACAATGTCTTTAAGATCGATAAATCATATATAAATGATTTCAGCTGTATAGATTGATCAAACTGCAGCTTATCTACGATATTCTAGCCAACACACTCTTAAAACATCTTCAATGTTCCTAAGATATCTGTTCTAGGTCACTATTTCTGGAATATTCATCTTTTTCAGGCATTTAAATCTTTCAGTTGATCAATATTTTGATTTAAATCAAAACTAGATGTTCAAAATACCAGAATTGATGAATTTTGTGAACCTATCACATTGAAAAAAGTAGAATTTCAGGAAAATCTATAGTAATGAGCTCTTAGTTGATACCGTTTTACACTGACTTGAATCGACTCTACTCGACTTACATAAATCAATTTCAAAGCAATTTTGAGCTCTGGATAAAAGAATGAATTCATCTTAATTCTATAAAAATTAGACACAAACTTTAAGCTGTTCTGATCCACCCAAGCAAACCCAAAGCCCACCAAAACCCCACAACAAGAATCGAACTATGCAAATGTATCAAAAGAATTTATTTTTTTCTGAAGCTTTGAGGTGATTTTTTTTCAACAATTTTTCTGTTCCGACCAAACTTTTAGATTCTTCTAATCACTTTTTTGTTTATTCTAAGTTATCAATTCAGAGCTGTTAAATCATCTGTCATTTTAATTCAATCAAGAAAAGGCAATTTTTTCTGATATTTTATTAAAATTCTGAACTTTTAGGGGAGCTAGACTCAATCTGATACACATTCTGGACGAACATGCCAGTTTAAATCAAAATACAGCCAACAAAATGGTTCATGACAGCTTAGCATCAATGTTTGATAGCTTAATTTAAGTTTGAATTAAATGCATGTTTTTTAATCGTTCACAAATGAAAAATTATCCCCACAAATAAAAATAATCATCTCCACTGGATTATATTTTATTTCTTATGTTATCGCAAAGTCCACGCGCTCAAAATTACTACAAACTGCTCATTTCATCACGTTTTGGTTTCTAATATTCTCAATTTATTTTAAGTAAATTGTAAGATAAGATAAGAATGAAAGTTTTTATCTATTATTGTGGCAGTTTTAGTCAATATTACATTAGTTTACTTTTTTTTGTCGTTCATCATTCATCATGTCCATTTCACATAGAATTTATATAAATTTAATTTGATTTCGAAATATTATTTAAAAAGTTTTTCTGCATCAACAAGAAATTTGGGGTGCGGAGAGTGGGTAGGGGTGTCCATACAGTCATTAGGAAAAGATGCTGGATTTATTTGATTCATGCTACACTGATGTGAATGTTAAGTATTGTATAGAAAAAGGCAGAGGTATTGCTCACTGGATATTCGCATGAATCTTAAGGATACAATTATTTAATTGAACTGGACTGTTCTTTGCCTTTTTGGGTAGTATTATTTTGGCAGTATTCAGTTTGGATCTTCATGTGATTGATGCAGATCATCGACTCTAATAAAAATGAACCTTACTTGGAATAAATTTAATGATTTTCTTAAAAATCTACAGAATCATTATTTTTAAAGACACATCATCCATTTCTTCAAGACATATCCAAAATGTAGATGGAAGATTAAACCATGACTTATGGACACCCACTCAAATGACACAAGGACAGCTTTATAGATTGCATTATAATACCGAACTCCATCCGTCACTCTATCAAGTTCTACTATTTTAAACAAATAATTAATCAATACTTTCTTAGATAAAATAGATTGGAAACTTAATAGGAAATAGGGAACAGTTCCTGACAAACAAATTAACATTTATTAAGATTATGAGGGGAAAATATTTTGGTTTGTATCTCTAACTTTATTTTAAAACTCGATTCCATTATCATGATATAACTAACAATGAGTCGTGCTTGCTAAGGGGGTGGAGGTTTGTTTTTGGCATTTTAAAGATTTTGACTATCTTTGTTGTACTATTTTCTTCGTTTTTAGAGATATTCTATTAAGGGGTTTTATCTCATTTATGTTTGTTTTCTGAATGATTTTAAAATTGATATTAAGATTGAGATTCACGAAAAAGAGAATCAGTTAAGATCCAGACATATCGAGTCGATACATTTTATTCGTTGAAAATTATCTGAGTCAGAATGTGTTCATCCTTAATTTGAATTATTAACTAGCTCTTTAAGGCTAAAAGTATGATCAGTGGCAACTTATTTTGATCATTGAGCATATTTTAGTGATTTTAAGCAAGTTTAATGTTTCCAACATTAGAATTGCGTTTAGTAACTAGATTTTAAAATATTAAGTAGCTTATCATTCCTTATAATGCTGCGTTTTATAGCCAAATAGTTCTTGATCTTGAAAATTTGACTCAAACAGAGACAAGATGGAATTATTCGATCAGATATTTTTCATAAGTCATAAGTCGCCATACCAATAAGGAAGCCCCCTTAGGGCACCCTACAAGAGCATAAACTAGCAGTGTAAATACACTATGACGTACAAAAAGATCTCAAAAAAAGCTTTTGATAATTCCCACCCCACAACAGCAGACACGACTCCAATTTTACTAATAAAACGATTTTTTATTTTCTATTGCATTATTCTCTATCCTTACGTCACGTCCATTTGCACTAAATTAATTAAATTTAAACATTTTTAAAAAATCTTCCATTTTGATAAAGTATTGTAAAAGATTTCTCACTGTCAACCTATACATGCCCGTGTAAATGTAGAAATAGCATTAATAAATGAAAAATTTCGTTAAACTTATCTAAATCCCTTATCCTCACCATCATGTTTTATTATTTTTTTCATATTATTTTATTATTATTATTTGTGAGTTCATCATGAAAAGTGCAAAAAGGAATCATTTTTTTATGCATTTATGGATTATTTATATTTTGTAACTGAGGATTGTAAAAAATTGTATTAATTTTATGTATATTTCTATAATTTTATTTTAAAGGCAGGTGTCAACATGCATGTAACTTTTATTTTTATAGCGGAATTTACAATTTTTTTTATTATTATTATTATTATTTTATTTATGTTCGAACAGGGAAAACAATTTTTTTATTTATCTATTTTTTTACGATTTCTTCTCGGTAGATTTATGACTTAGTGAAGTGAGGAGGAAAATGATGAAGTTCTATTGCAATCAACACACTTTCATATCATCCAGTATCACCTTTTTTTGTTTGAATAATTCATATTTGATTAATAAATATTTCCTTTATTAATTTTTTTTCTCATTTTGTGTCGCAAAAAAGGTACATTTGTCGAATTTTTTGTCATATATTCTTCTTTTTTTCGTTTTTTTGTTCTCAATAATCATATGTATTGTATAAAGTTGTGTGTTTTATGCTGATAATAATTTAATTTAATTTAATAATACATAGATAATTAATTCAATATGAAAAATTTCATTCTCTTTGTAGGAATTGGATATAATAATTAATGACTTTTTTTTAAAAAAAATGATAAAATATTTCGCAATATAGTGGGACAAAGGTACCTTTTAATTAAATATAAAATAATTTTGTTGATTTCTTTGTGTGGAGGTGGTTTGAAGGGGGGTTTAGTGCTTAGTAAATGAGATTGGAAATTTTTTCAACTTAATTAATCTTCAAATTTAACCTTAAGTTTGGTGTTGAACAAGTTTTTATGGCTTGTTTTGGTCACAACCTTACATAAATTAACCTTCTTACAAAGTTTTATATGGGCATAATGTCCTCCAAATATAAAGCCTAGCCTAGAGTATGATGCAGTGTATGAACCAGGCGCATAGCCAGGGGGGGAGTTTAGGGAACAAATCCCCCAACGTAAACAGAAATTTCTTTATTTTGCTAGGGTTTTTGTGAAAAAATCACAATTATCCCCCCCCCCCCTCCCCCTTAAATTTTTCCTTACAAAAAATTGTTTGCCCCCCCCCTTTAAATTACTGGCTACGCCCGTGGTATGAACCTAGTAGAAGCGACATAGTAATGCTCTCATAGAAAGCTTATGCTCCGCGGACCAAAGTTTGAGAAACACTGACATGAGAAATAAAAAACTGGTCAGTTATAATTAAACTATGAGTGAGACAATTAGCCTCGTATGCCCTGATTAGGAAGTCATGCAATCAAGCAAGATTGTAGAGACACCACAAGTAGGAGCATCACAACAAACATAAAAAGCTTTCAAAGCTCGAAGTTGACAAAATTTTTATAGAATTTTCAATGCAAGAGTAAAGTTATGCTCCACTTTTAATCCAATAACTAAGCACATAACCCCACCCTATCATCACCCCTTTCAATATATTCTAAATCAATAAAAATTTCAATTTATTATTTTTTTTTCATTTTAGCTAATTGTGCTGATACGCACACATTCAATAAACAACATTTTTTTTTAAATTCAGGATTCATCTGTTCAAGTATATCCTATCAACATTACCTCTTGTCGTGTCATGCATTTTTTTATATGATAAAGAAATGAGCGCTTTTTGAAAGTGGATCATCATCGAAAAAATTGCACAAATATTATTGTTATGTACATGCGATGTACGAGTAATTATTTACCGACTTTCATTCATCATTTTATTTTTTTGGGTTTCATTTTATTTACACGATATTTTTTTAAGATTTAACTTTATACAATTTTTTTTACGAAGGATTTTTCTTTTTTGATGATTTTTTAATTTAACTAATTTTTTGCAATTTTTTTCGTTCATTTTTCACTAGACAGAAAAAAAAAGTTTTCTTATTTTTTTTTTGTTTCATTTTGTTTTAGTCTTTTTAAAAGTTTTTACTTCATTTACTCCTCAAAAATGTCATTCATTATGACTTATTCGATATCATTTATTTTTTTTTTCACAGAACTTTGTTATTTGTTTTTTTTTTCATCATTCTTCATACTACTACATACGATTTTTTTTTTCATTATTTTTTTGTCACATTTTTCACTTTTTTATTTCTCACAAAAAAAAATCAAATTTTTTCTTCTTATTTTTTAAACTTTTTTTTGTTGTTTTGTTGGTTTTTGACACTGTTGTTGTAAATTAAAGTTGCTTATCCATTACTCATTTGTGATTTCTTCATATGTTACTATACCCATATTTGATCCTTATTGTTTGTTTTGCTCAGAATGGGTATCCTTTGCTAGCACCTGTAAATGAGAAAATTTACAATTTGTTAAGAGTTGAAGAATTTTTTTGCTTTGTGGATGTTTACATCGAAAGGTAACATCTAAGGTTTGTAGAAATTAGAATAAGGCAAATAAAAATTTTAAAAAATTTTGACCATTATCCTGAAGCTTTACCCAACGAATTGCTGACGAATTTGTTCAAATTTTTACATGATTACTGCAGATTTATCATACAGGCACCTGTGCACAGGTAAAAACCGTAAAATTCCTTGATAAATTGTAAAGTTTAATTAGAATTTGTATGGTTTTGTTAGAAAAACATTATAAATTATCAAGAAATTGTACGGTTTTCACCTGTGCACATGTGCTTGTATCGCAACTCTGAATTGCTGTCATGAGAACAGCTTTGATATGGGGCTTAGATATGAATAGAATTAAAATTTGCTTATCTTATTCCAGTAACCTGTGAGAAAGTTGGATCTACTTGAAAAATGAACTGAATGATTCCTAAATCCATTCCTGAGTATGATTTCATTTGGAACTTTTTAATGAAAATCAATTCTAATTTTGATAATAATTTTGAAAATTATAAGGAGCCAATAAGGAGATGAGAGGCTTAAAAATCTTACTGAATGATCAATTCGTGAAAAATACAATTTCATAAAAATAGGAAAAATTAAATTTATTATCAATTTCCTATACCTAGATTCAGTCAGCGAAAAAGTCACTCCATTTTAATCATCTTTAATTCCATTTAAAATTTTAATTAACTTTGCAATTGATAATTTTAATTGGCTCATTTTCATTAATTTTTGCCATGTTATCAATCAACAGCAGCAGCTTTATGAACATTATTATTACATATGTCATTTTATTCTGATGTGTATGCTTCCAATTAAATGAAATTGCATGTAATTCAATTTCTGTGATTTTATTTTAAATGTTTATTGAATCATCAGCATGGAGAAGGTTGGAAAAGTGGGAATTTGGGTATGAATGATTAATATTGGAATTATTTTGATAATTTATTAAGTGAACTAGTCATAAAATGGTTCGGATGGACTTCATATATAACCAGACCAGGAATTTTTAAACTATACCTAGATGAACATTGCTCATTGAGCACTAATTGTTAAAAATTATCCGTTTAGGATCGTAGCAAGGATGTTTGGCGCTTGGTGATTATGTTTTTAATGAGATCCGGTTCGAATCCCGTTCCTACGATTCTGCTCTTATCCCAGAGCTTCAAAAGATTGAGAAACACTGGACTAAATTCAAATCGCTATAGCCAAGCAAGGATTTATGGAAATGTATCGAAAATTCAATAAAAAGCTGAACAAAATCATTTTATAACATGCAAAATGAAACCAAACCTACCCAAACCGCTAGATTTTTTGAAAATAATCATATATTTTAATAAGTCTTTGACTAGAGCTTATAAAAGCTTGAACTTAACCTGAGGCCCACCTGTCAAAATCTAGTCTCAGCAAAAACTTAAAATGAATCTCCCGAATTGAAAAAAGCTTATCAAAAATTCACAACTTTCCTATACCAAAATCACGACTCAACCCTCTCTAAAGCACCCCTTAACCTCCCAACCCCCGCAAAGAAAGATTATAAGAAGTAAAGAATTTGTCTAAAAGAAATTTTACCAATCTTCGTCGTCAGAATCTGAATGCCGAGCATGAAGTCCTTTGGACTTGTAGCCATTCAGCACCGGTGATCCTAACATTCTCCCCGTTCTACCCATTGCCAATGCTTGTTCGTACGATAGTGGAACTGAATGCTCCATTCTAAAAATAAATCAATAAAAATAAAACGGAAACAAATTGGAAATTCATCACATAAATTTTTGGGATATAAATGTTGTAGCCTCAAACCTTTCATAATCCCTCTCAAGCTCTCGCTCAAGGTCACGCTCCCTCTCATAAGCTTCTCGTTCTCTATCTCGAAACTCGTATCGTATGGGATATTCACGGTCGCGTTCTCGTTCACGGTCTCTGTCTCGATATCGATCCCTTTCTCTATCTCTATAATACATATCACGAGGATCGCCACGAAGGTAGTCTCTCGAATGAGGCAATGAATGAACACTGTGCGGTGTATTATGTGTTGAATGAAGCTACAAAAAAGATAATATGAAATTTAATTAATCTATTCTTAAAATTAATGGATATTGATATTGATGCTTACACGTGTGGGACTAGCGTTGAGTTTTGGGAAATTAATATTTGTTGACTGTAGTTTCAGCGTTGATGGTTTATTTGGAGTAGGTGGCAATCTTCGTCCCTGCCCAACGCCTCCTCGTCGTGAGGATACTAATACTGGATAACTATGTTGTGGAGGATGTCCTTTAAAAATGTCAAAAAATAATTTATATAACATTATTATCATAGCTAGCTTCCAAATTTAGACTCTATATACTAATTCTTTATGTTCAAACAACATCAACATGATCAACTCTACGAGAAAAATTTTACATTATTTTTTTTGGATATAAACAAAAATATCTATATTGATACTCTATAGGCCAGTTAAAATACAGGTTCAATGATATACTTGCATTATAAAATATGAAGTGAATATGTGGAAATTACAACATTATTATTTTTAACAAAGGGAGGAGGTGATGGAAGTGATGAAAAAACTAAAAAGAAATATTTTTTTTTATAATCAAGTCTGTAGTTTAGGTGATGGAGGTACTTTATTGCATTGGATATGTTCTAGTGTTATGTGATGCTGGCCCGTTATGTGACTTTTCATACTGTGTGTGTATAATAATTAGATGTGAGCAATTTTATTATTTAAATTTTGCAGTTTGTATAGGCATGCAAATTTTGGATATAAAATTCTATGTTGTTGGATTGATGAGTTGTTGATTTATCAGTTGACAAGATGTTGCTGTGGATGTATGGATTTTTTGTATTAGACTAAGAAGGTGTGGAACTGATCAAAATCATCATAAATGTTCAAATCGTAATTTAACAGTTCAATAATCTTGAATTTGACATTAATAATAAATGACCTAATATTCAGGTGCATTTAGAGAGGATGTTTGGTACGATATGCTATTCTTCCTCTCATTCTAACATAAAAGACCCAACATATGTGTGTTTGTTGATTTTGAAAGGATTAATCTAGTCAATGCTATCATACTTTGACCTTAGTTGTAAGTGGTTCTCAAAAGTTGTTCTGTGAAACTTTTTGGATTCGAGATAAAATGCTAAACATGTCAACAGGATTCGCTACTGAATGATGAACTGATGATTAAATGCTTAGCAGCTGGAAAAATTTCGGGAGAACTGATCTGCATAGTTGATAATTCTAATAAGTTGTATATCCAGTAGATATGTATAATTTTCAATTCTACCGTTGAATCAGATTGATTCTCAACTATGCAAAATTGTAATATTCAGTGAAAATTAATGAAATGCATCTAGTCACGATTTTAAAGACGCGAAACACACTAGCCTAGCTGTATGACTAGGATAGTTGAATAAAATACAGAATTTAAATAGATATTCAAAGGAATTGAACTTTTGGTCAAACTAACCCTAGCAGAAATTTACTAGTAATTTCCTAGTAATTTACTGGATAACTTTCCATTTGCTACTTGCTATTTACTAGTCAAAATCCAAGTTCAAATCATCGCCAAAGACCCGCATTTTCACTTGCTAATTGACTAGTCAATTCGCTTACAATTTAACTAGTAATTTACTAGCAAATTTTTAAAAAATTTAAATGAATATAACCGTTGATTTCCACGTGTTCTTTTGATTTTTCTTATTTGTGTAAATTATTATAAAAGTATTAGTGTGCACTTAGTAAAGTTAATTAAAGTACACTAACACTATGAAAAATAAATAAAAGACTTAATTTAATTAAGTCGAATAGTGATGAACACCCATGACTCGCACGCAAACCTGAGGAAGATAAATAATTAATTGAAAGTCACATACAAATTTGGATCGACCTTATAAAGGTGATTACTGCGCGCTCTTGTGAAGTATATGGCAAATGCCAAATTTAGAACAAAATTTTTTATGACGCAAAAAATTCTTTTTTTGATGATTTTTCGTAAGATTCGAACTTAAGCAGATTTGATCAATTATTTTACATGGTAATTTGCTAGTAATTTGCTAGTAAATAGCAAGTGTAATTTATTAACAGTAAGTTGTTTTAATAATAACTAGTAAATTGCAAGTTGTAGAATAGAAAGACTAGCAATTTGCTAGTTAGTCTCGCTAGGGTAAGGATCGAACCTATGTCCATTAGTTTGGTTTAAGATGCAGTGTCATATCATGAATAACTGTAATAGCTGCTCAAATCTGAATTGAAGATGCTATGATTAATAATAGCATTTAAGCTAGCTTCAATCAAATTATCCTTTAAATTCTTAATGATAAGTTATAAACTACAACTCTTAAAGGCATAGTTTCTATCAACTGCCCCAAATTAATTCAAAAATCTTAATATTAAACAGTCGTAAATGCCAGCAATCTCATGTTTTCGAAAATATATTCAAGGTTCAGCAATCAACTTCATCAACAACTCATCACATCAAAATTAAGTAGCACAAAAAAAATCAACTAGCTTCATTTGAAAAACATTGAAAAAATGAAAATCTACGCGTAAGAAAAAAATGAGGACAAAAAAATTAAGCTATACTCAAATGAAACAACAAAATGAAGTAAGAGAAATCAGGAAATACTTTCAAGAATAATATTCAAAAAAGAACTAAATTGAACTTATTGGAAAGTAACCAAATCTAAATTAAGTTCAAAAAAAAACTTATAAAAATTTTTTTTCTAGTTTTTGAAAGAATTTTTTTTTTTCGGAAGTTAAAATCATGTTTGTACCCATTTCATTTCTATAATATCGCTCTCTCGATTCGCGGATTTCCTGAAGTCTTGCTGGACTTGGTGATCGAGATCTTTGGATTAAACTAGTTGTACCATATGCCTTATAATTAAGATGATTTCGTCGACTATTACGATGAGTCGAACTACCACCGGGAAATCGTGAACGAGGTGATGGGGGCGATCTTGCTGGACTTGTCGATGCTGACCATGAACCTAAGGTAAGTGTGATGGAAGATATTTCAGTTTCTTGCACAAACTTTAGTTTTTGGGTAATTTTGATATTTTTTTAAACTAGTTTTTTTGATGAAAAATTAATAAACATTCTCGAATTAATAATTTGATTGCCATAACAAATTTTTTGGATGGTTCGATTTGTCAAAATCTAAATTATTTGGGATTCGAAATCTGAACTCTACTACGGTGAGACTCATTATTACTTTATTAAATAATTAATACATGCTTAATTATGATAATTTGCATATAATAAATATATATTTTGCAAGAGATAAATAAACTAAACCTAACTCATACGATTTGAATTATTATTATTATTTCAAATATCAAAAATACGTTATATAGTTTATTTTTTATATGAAATGGGCACTATATGATGTTTATCAAAAAACGAAATAATTAATTAAGAAAAAAAGATTAAATTAAATTATATTAAATTTCTATACAATATTTACAGTAATTATAAGATTTTTAATATAAATTAAAAATGATACGTGAATTAAATATAAATAAGTTAAGGACTACTGAATGAAGTATGAAGCTAAGTTTTATTAACTACCGAACCGAACTATATGAATATATAAATTATAAATATTCAATCAAAAACAATAAAAATTAACTACATTTAATGATAATTGAAAGAGATTGTGTCATCCAAATTTAATGAAGTATAATACATGAGGTTTACTGGATGTATAAATTATAAATTAAAATATATATATATAGATATATTGAATAAGTTCTTATCATTATACACATTGACTTCATATTTTTAATTAAAAATTGTTTGTTTAAATTAAAGTACGATGATTAAAACAAAATATATATATATCACAAAATTAAGGCTTAGAATCAGAAATACTTTGCGAGTATTTGACTTTGTTCAACACACAACATCGAGTATTGTTCAATAGACAACATTTCTTGATTATTATATTTTTTTTGTGGGTGGTTAAAAGGAAAAAATTAAAATGGATGTATGATTTCTACCTCTAGCAAATCTATGACCATGTCCATAGGGTCTACCTCTTCTGTGTTCTTCCTTTACTATCTCAACAACATTTGAGACGGTGTCCGAAAAGCCTATGTCGTGAGGCAGATGACGACCTCGTGGGCTCGGTGTGCGATTTAGTGGTGATTGACCGTGTCTGCTATGGAGGGAGATAAAATTTTGACATTAGTTGGGAATTGAATTTAAATTTCATGTAATTTATTAAGTTTTATTAAGGAATGACCTCTGGAGAAGTAGCTTGTATTTTACTAAGGGGCGTAGCTAGAAATTCAATAGAATTCATAAAAGATCTTCTTGGACAGTTTTGAATACAAATTTCCACGAAGGGAGGGAACAATGGACTCTTCTAGCTATGCTAATGCCACGACGTAAATTATATAAACCATAAGCCTTGATAAACCACTCAAACGTTCCCAAATACTTACACAAAAACCCTCAAAATCAAGCAAATTTCAATAAACAAATCCTACCTTAAACTAGGTGACCTTCTATGGCCGTTGAATGTTCTACCGGGATGCAAATGACCATCAGCGAGGGACTCCATAGACGCATGACGAGATGTATCACCATGCAAGTCCTAAAGGTTTCAATTAATAATCACAAATCAAAACTTTTTGTTCCAATTGTTAAACGTAAAAGTAATTTTTTTTTAAAATTTTTTCTTAAAGTTTTTTATCTTCAATTTTCAGTCAGATTAAGTAATTAAAAAAGTTATAAAAATTAAAAGTGAGTTTAAAAGTAAAAAGAAAGCAAATAAATTAAATTCTTCAACACATATTTTTTTAGCTTTATCTTTCATAGTAAAAAATTATCAATTTCTTTTTTTGTCGTCAATTTTGTCCTATATTTCTCAATATGATTGTTTTTAAATTTAAATGACACATTTCTCATTATTTTAATTTATTAAGAAATATGTCATTCAACCGTGATGATTAGACTGGTTTTCAATTTTTTTTTCGATACTCAAATAATGAAATTAAAATGAAACGAAAAATCCAATAAAATATTTTTTTTTGCAATCAATTTTTTTTTGTCAAATTTTGAATTTTTTTGTTTTTCTCGAAGTTTTGATTGTGAATGAAAATAAATTAGTTTTGAAGTCATGTGAAGAAATTAAATAAAGAATGAATAGAAAAATTATTGTGTAAGATGATGATTGTAATTATTATTTATGATTATAATTAAATAAAGCTTTGCTGAAATGTTGTTTTTTTGTTATTGAAAATTTAGGGGAAATTATAAATTTGACTCCAATTTAATTGTATTTAAATGCAGAAAAATTATTGTTTTGATGAGATTGAATTTTTGTATGCATTTTTGAGGGGAAGTTTTGGAATTTATGAGTTTAAGCTTTATTGTAGCTACAGATGACACAGTTTCCACTCAAAATGCATACAAAAATTCTATAATTTCAGATAGTTAAATGAGTTATTGCATTTCCTTTACTCAGTAGGTTGACATCCTTGCTCGAAGGCAAATATAAGGTTCGGACACTATTATAGATTATAGAAGAGCATTGAAATAAGCCATAGAAACAAAGAAATGAACAACTTATATATATATATATAGGATTTAGTTGAAAAGTCATCTAGCCCCGGATAGTTCAGTGGTAGAAGCATGCGACCATAAATTGTAGGACAAGGGTTCAAATCCCATTCAGAATTTTTGAATTATTCCTTTTCTGTTGTTTGGCAAATATAAACATTAAACAACGGCTGTCATGATTTAAAGCTTATAACATGAACATTTGAATCAAAACTTCACAGAAAATATAATTCATAGGATTTCAACTTCCTTTATAATTGGAAAAAGCTATAATATTAATTCTTGAGGTCTATAATCCATTAAATCATTTAACAAACTTCAAATCTCATCATTACTATAATTTATTTGATCAATAATGTAAAGTGTGTAATTAATAAAAAATTTGTAAGATAAAAAAGAAAAAAAATTCATGCAAAAAACATGCAAAAAATGCAAAACTGTTCTTTTTTGTGTAAATAATTTTTTTGAAATTTCATTTATGAAAATTCTGAATTATTTATTTTAATGAAAAAATGAATCAAAACTTGCTGATCAAAGAAAACTTTTTCTTCCAGCATGCAGTCATCTGGACTTATACTTTAAGTTTATGAATATAATATAATAAATTTGTTTATGCAATAAGATATAAAAAAAGTAAAAAGGAAATTTTTGATGCAAAAGCGATTTTATAAAAAAGTTCTAAAAAGATGCTTTGACTATTACTTGAACTGCTCTAGTTTTATGAAAAATATGTAAAAAGATTTTTTTTTGTTCTATTCTAATTATGTGAAAATTTTCCTCGGAAAATCCTACTTACCACGACAGGATTTATTTTATATTTTTTTTTAAAAAAAAATTTTATTCTATTATTTTTTTCATCAGGCTTTTTTTATTTTCCTATTCTACGATATCTTTCCTATATCCTATCTAGCTCATTTTTTCTTTCGAACTGAAATTTTATTGTTTTTATTCTATGAAAGAAATCGAAATTATTTTTTTAAGCTATTTGTTCTGTCATTATTCGTTCTCTATTCTGTTTCAACTTATTCACACAATATATAAATGTTATATAATTAATAAACACTTAAAGTACTTATAACACAAGTCTTCACAGTAATTAATAAAAATCATCAGTAAATGTGTATAAATGTATTTTTTTCCATATAGATATAGAGATTGTTTTGAATTTTAAACACGCATTTTAATAACATCACCTTTTTGTTATTCCTGAAATTAAATAAAAAGAAAATATAAAAAAAGAAAAAAAAAGAAAAGTGGAAGAAAAAAGAAGAAAAAAAGAGAAAAAAATAGGAAAAAAGACAAGCAGAGACAAAGAAAAAGTTGAAAATTTGGATGCACAAATCTAAGTTTTTTTTGTTGAAAATGTGAATTAAATGTGCAGAAATTTGCATTCTTATTAACTGTTAAATTGTGAATTTTTTCAAACACAAATTTCTATTAACCACGTGAAAATTTGAGATGGTGATGAACTGATCGGAGAGATTGGTATGAAATTTCAGTAATTTTAAAGTTTATTAAACTTAAGTTTAAACTTTTCTGGCTGGTTGGCTGGCTGGTAGCTTTAAAATCTTTGCAACGAAAGCAAGGAGAGACTTCAGGTTTTTTGCATTTGAAAGCTTTTATTTCGTAAAGGTGCGCTACATATTTAGTTTTGAATTTCCTCTTCAAAACTTAGTTAAATTAACTCTTATTCGTTATTTGATTGGCATAACTTGACTTTGAATTTCAAATAACCGTTAAATTTCGAATTCAAAAAACAATTAAATTCAAATTTAAAAACAATTAAATTCAAATTTAAAAACAATGAAATTCAAATTTAAAAAACAGTTAAATTTAAATTTAAAAAACCTTTCAAACCTAAATTTAAAAAATCGTTAAGTTTTGAATTTTAAAACCCCGTTAAATATTGAATTTTAAAAACTGTTAAGTTTTGCATCTCAAAAAACTCTCAAGATTTCATAATTAATGAATTAAACAGAAAACTTCATATCAATCTCATCTTCACAGTTCCGTTGAATGTGGGTCTGCCTCATTTCTTCACTCACAGTTTTATTTGATGCCTTGTCTAATTCTTTCCACTATTATCCTTTTCACAATGACAATCTTGAGTAGATTTCAAAACAATAATTATAATTAAAATTTAAAATTACTTTCAAGTTTTGTGTTCATAATCTCATTGTGTAAATTTGTTGTTAATTGTGAACAAGTGTATGCCATTGTGATTAAGGGCTGCAATTTTAATTGCGTGAATTGTAAATGGCGGTATCTACTCAACAGCACTATTTTATAAGCGCTAATATAATTATTATCAATTTTTTAAATGATCTTGATGGCGCCAGGCATGAAAATTGATGGTCAATTAACATTGTGGCGACAGCAAGACTTTAATTAAATTAAGTAATTGCATCAAAAGTGAAGAACACAATGTGCAATGCAAATACTCTCTTGAATCAAGTTACTTCCGATAAGCTTAAGCAGATATGCGTCACAAAAACTAATATTGTTGAAAAAACCAACGAAAATTGCTCAAAAAATATTAAATTGATGAAAATTTCCTATAATTTATAAAACCTAGTTTAAAAACAGGAACATCAAACAATTCCGAGTGAGTACGCTGAGACGAATTCCCACGAATGAATGCTTCTTGTTCATGATGAATCTTATAAAATCATAGACATAATAATTCTTACCTGAACGATCGTTTTCGCATCGTGCTCCGTCGTGCTAAACCCGTTAAACTATGTTCTACATCACCATTATGATGATTCAAGAGGTGCGTCTGTGAGCTGACATTTTCATTATCTAAACTTAAAGATCCAGCACGTGATCCTGTCTTTTCTAATGCCGCCATGTCTAATATTGTCGTGAACAGTGATGGTTTCTGTGTATGTGATGGTTTTTTTGGATTTTGTTATATTTTTTTTTATCAGCGGTGATGATGGTGAATTTTTAAAAAATTTTAATGTTTTTTTTCGAATGCAAAAAAAGCAGTTCGTTTCGCCACAGCCACAATTTCAATTTTAAATTAAATATTTCAATTTTTTATGTGCGATGTGATTTTTTTTATATTTATTTTTCATAATTTTAATTTTGAATTGAAAAATAAATTTTGAAAAAAAGTTTATTTAAAGAAAAAGGCAAAAAGGCAATAATTTTTATAAATGAAACATTGAAAAGTATTGTATATGAAATAGTAGAATATAATATATAAAAAATTGTATGGGAACATTATTATTAATTTAAATACACTGATTGTGATGATAATTAATAAAAGTAGTCAAACATCTAAAGCATGCATATATTATATTTGTGAAAAAATCGCTAAAAGCCAAAACTACTTGAAGGAACTATGAGAAAAATTTGTGTAGCAAAAAGTTGATTTCAGTTGTTTTATGGAATTTTATAGGCGTTTTTGAGAATTTATTGTATTGAATTTGACAGATTTACAGAGAACTTGATCTGATTTACACGGAACTCACCCTGCTTTCCACAGAACTCAACCTGCTTTGTACAGAACTCAGATTGCCTCACACAGAACTAAACCTGTGTTACACAGAACTCAACCTGTGTTACACAGAACTGAACCTGTGTTACACAGAACTCAACCTGTGTTACACAAAACTGAACCTGTGTTACACACACTGAACCTGTGTTACACAGAACTCAACCTGTATTACACAGAACTCAATCTATTTTAAAGATAACCAAACCCGATTCTTCAAAAAATTTCATATAAAATTCCATAATCATACTGACTATTATTTTGTAAGTGAAATAATGTTGATAAGATAATTAAATAATAAAAATAATGAAGTTCAATGAAAGAGCATACATCTTAGTAGAGTATTATTTTTCAAAAATATAGGACAATTGATATTAACCAACTAACGTCTCATAAGACTCAATCTCATCTAATTTCTCGCTACAATTATCTTTTCCTGTTTTTCTATGGTTGCGTGTAATATATTTCTTTATTTCTATATATGCGTTGAAAAATTAATTAATTTCGTAATTTATTGATTGACTTAATATAAATTCGGAAAAAATTGAATTAAAGCGAATCATAAGGTATAAAAGTAGATTAATAAATAATTGGTGCTAGTTTGAGTAACTAGTAAAAATTGATTATTTTTAATGGAATTTCAACGTTTTTTTCATTCAGAATTTATTTTTTGTTTATATAGTAATTAATTAAGTAAAATTATCCATTCACTTAATGTGCTTAATGCAAATTACAATATAAATAATTGAATTAAAAATTATTTAAATAAAATGCAATAAAAAATGGAATTTAAAATTATTTTTTTTGTTTGTTTCGCTTTTGATGATCTTTTTACGAATTAAAATTAATAAAAATTGCTGATTGTTTTTTTTTTGGAAATTTTTTAAATTTTTGTGGTTGAAAAGTTGAAATTCTCTTGACATAATTATATTTATTGGGGCATAGCTAAGGATAAGGATTGCAAGGGTATTGAGAGAAGTATTAATTATTAAAATTTAAAAATGGAAAAATGACTTCTTCGAAATATTTTGAACTATTTTCAAACTATTAAACATATGTGAGTAAGAAAATAAAAGATTTTTATATTATATTGCTAAAAGTAAAGAGTTCGAATCTCAAAAGGTTACCGAAATTTAAATGAACATTGTTTTATTTCTATTAAAATATTTGTTTTTTGATTTTTTTATATTATTTTAATTTAAAAATTTAATTTTCAAGATCAAAATTTCAACTTTTAATCACAGTTTTTTGATTTTCAATTAAAAAGGTTTTCCAATGAAAATCAAACAATTTTTTTGAAATTTCCTACAATTTTTTATTTAAATTTTTCTCAATTTAACTGTTTTTCTAAGATTCCAAAAAAATGCAATTTTTCAAGCTCGAATTAGAGGAATGAAAAACAAAATGGTAAACAATTACAACTCATTCAATGAAAAATTTTAAAATGAAAGCAATCAAGTATCAGAAAAGTAAGAAAAAGGATTTTTTTTGTTTGTTAAAAAATAAAATAAGTTAGTACCCGTATTGCTTTCGCTTCATCTTTTCCCTGGAATGGTATAATGAGCCGAATTTTAAAATTTTTTTCTCAAAAATATTCTCGACATCGTTTGTCATTTGTCAAAACAGAAAAAAAGCGTCTCTCATGGAAAAAGAGGAATAATAAATTAATAATTTCGATGTTTAAGTTGCAACCATATTTGTATCTATTTACAAGAGCTATAGTTTTTATGTTTTTTTAAAGTTAACGAAACTTCTAAGCCAACAAGGAAACAATAAAATAAATTTTAAAATCCTTATTAAACACAAATTTAACCTTCTAGCAAATAAAACTGGGAAATTAAAAATAACTGAAATTATCTTATGGCTTAAAAACTTGTTAGGCTTTTGCATTATAAGAAAATTTAAATTCCATCACCACTATATTTTTACTTATATCCAATTCAACACAAACATTTATGTATTTAGATCTGATTTATTCTAAGTTATATAAAAATCTATTTGGCTTTTTTTAATTTTTTTCTAGTGTTTGTGAGCTTGGTACAAATCTTTAAGAGATTCGTGAATGAAAAATGAAGTTTGAAGGAGGATTGGATTGTAAAAATATTATTTTTAAATGATCTAAATTAATTCTAGTTCTATTTATTTTTATATATCAACAATTTAATTTTGTGACCAGATAATTAATAATATAAAATGATTCGAGTTCAGTGTTTCTCAATCTATGCTCCTCGAAGCTTTAAAAACATTTTAGTTTCTTTGCAAAAAATGATAAAACGATAGATTTGATTTTTTCTAAAAAGTTTGAGAAACACTGCTTGAGATTTATAATTTCAGTTGGGTGCGAATGAGTTTAAAATTAATTTTAAATTTTTGAGGCATAAATTTTTTAAAGTAAAGAAAATGACTCAAGGAGCACCAGTAGATTATTAGGAAAAAGGGGGATCTTCACCCTGGTCACAAAAAAAAAAATCCAAAAGTGTCGAGTGTCAAATTCTCCGGTTACAACCCTGAGAAGCACCCCATCCTCATTATTGTTTTTTAACAACAAAATACCCAATAGTACTAGTCAAAACTATTCATTTATTAAGAAATTAAACAAGGATTCTTTTCAATACTTTAGACAACTTCTAGTCTAATCAAAAACCTTAGTTAATCTTTTACTAGTGCTAAACTACAATTTCTTATAGTTCATGATCTAAACTTTTATTTCTATACTCTAATTTTGCAGATTAGTAAACTATTTACCAAAAATCATCTAAACTAAAACTTATTTTTTAAATTTTAAATTTTTTAACCCCAAAAAGTTTAAAACTTCATTTTTCATTCACCAAAAGTTAAAAAAAATCTAATTTTTCTCATCTTATTATTTTCACAAGTTATAATTATTATTTAATATTAAAATTCTATCAAATAAAGTTTACGATATATAGTAAGTACGATTTGACACAATATCAAAAGCAATTTCATTTGTTGTTATTTTTTTCACATTATTAAGGAAGGATATAGACGTTCAAAATTAACATAAAAAGTAAAACTATTCAAAAAATTTAAAACTATAAAAAATAAGAAAAAAACTAAAACGTTGGGGTGTAGACTTATTAAAGGGGGATTATCACGAGGGATATATTTCACTTATATTGGTCTATATATAAGTAGAATATAATTAAAAAATTATAAAAAATATTCTGAATCATCAGTCTTCAGAGTGTCATTAAATATCAACAAATTAAAATCTTTATATTTATAGTTATTTGGGGGGAAGATAGGGGGGAACCTTGTACTTATTTACTAATTCATCGAATCGTTTACTCACCGGTGCATCAGTCTCTAGTTGGCCAAACTTGGTATTTCGCCATGATTCCAAGATTAACAGGCCGGCATAAATTTTACCAACTGTTAATTTACCAGTATTTAACTCATCGCTACGTGGCACCAATAAATCTAACATCTTTTTTGCTTGCAAAGGCCATATATGTGTAATTGTTTCTCGAAGCTCTTGGTCTGCTTGGTCCATTTCTTCCGCTAAACACGACACTTATTAATTCCAATCAAATTATTAAACATTTCCAACTTACCAGCTCTCATTTTGATGCTCAAATTTTCACGGATTAGCGCAAACAGCGTAGTCGTAAAATTAACTTTACCGTCTGCATCCATGGGCATGTTCATTCTAATCAGTTTTTTATAGGCAAGCCGATTCGGACATTTGTTACCAAATCCTAGGGGAGGATCCATATTTTTTAACATATCATACATTTCGGTGTAGTGGATCTTGCCGCTGTAAAGGAAATATTTCCATAAGTTTCAATTAGATTAATAAATAATTGGTTTTTGGATAATGTAGTTGGATGCTTTCATATGAGGATTATTGAGTAGCATAAGTTGGTTAATCGAATTCAAGACCAAAATCTAATTAATATCTTTTTAAAAAATGAATCATTTTAAATTCAAATGAAAGCATCAAAAACACAAAAGTCCAATATCAATACTTACGTCGCATTTGGATCATATTCAGCCCATATTCTAACAAACTCATCTAAATGATGAGCACCTAATATACTGGAATCTCTCGTTAAATAATCAAAATTGTCCATAATAACAGCAACGAATAAGTTCAACATCTGTGAATAAAACATGAATCAGCAACAAATTAACAAATTGAACATGACTAAGAACTCACCAAAAACGAACAAAAGAAGATGAATGATACAAAATATGCGTACGCTAGTGAAGATCCACATGAATCACCATCTTTTTTTGCATTCGGATCACATGGTTTACCCCTAAGACATGCTAGCATAATGTTCGGCCACGACTCGCCTGTAGCACACCTGCAAGTTTCGGAGAAGAAAATAAAAAATTCAATTATTTAAAAATAATTCAAATTAAAATAATTAAAAAAATTGTCAACAAATTTCAAGCGAATTTTAATAGTTCAATATCAATATTACAGCCTAATTTATCAAAACATCAATGCTTCACGAGCGATAGCCTATTCTATGTTGTGAATGATATTTTTTTTGTGGCCAATGACTGCATCAATAAATTATTTATTGATGTTTGGTTTGATTTCATGGTGACTAACTTCACACACACAAATTTTTTTATTTTACTAGCTAATGAGCAACCTATATATACATAAAAAAAATAAGGATAATAATCTCTCGCACTCTTATTCATGTGATGAGGAAAAAAAAGATATTTTTTTAGCGTTCATGTTTTGAGGATGAAAAAAAATGGTAAAAAATTTTAAAAAGAATTTTTTTTTCTGTAAAATTTGAATGAATTTGAGAATTTTTCTTAAGAAATACTAAATTTTGTTTGCATGACGACTCTTACCTGAATAGTAACATTAACCCTTGCACAAAAGTGCGGAAGTTATTGTGTCTTGTTAGACCGCCGGTAGCATCGAGAGCTATGTTTCCAAATACCTACAGTAGCATTTTTTTTGATACATTTTTATATAATTTTTTTTTTCGATGAAATAATAATGTATTTTCAGGGGTACAGTAAAATGGAAAAAAGAATAAGCATATTTGTATAGTTTAATTGTGTAGCGTGTATGCATGTAGTTGAGTATGTATGTAAAATGATGGAAGAGGAATAGACAAAATTAAATAGTTATTATTCTGTAATATAGCAATAAATATTTCATTAAAAAATGTTGAAAAACATAAAATATAAAATAATCGATAGTTGGAGAGTTAAATAATAATAATAATAATAATAAATTATTTATTTATAGAATTTTATGGAATGCGAGCTTATTGAACTTAAAAGTTGAGGTAATGTTGGCGACTTATTCTTGGATTCTTTTTGACTAGTTTTTTGGATTTCAGCTAGATTTTCTAATTATTTTTTGACTATATAAGTTTTTGGCACTAAGTTCTGACAATTTTTCATTCGAATGTTGATGAATTTTGTAATCATTGTTTTTAAGACTGTTGTTCTGGGAGAAAACAGATTATCAGTTAAGGAATTCCATTGATTTCGGTAGATTCAGCCAACTTTAATAGTTGCCATCTAGAGTTGGAATTTGAAATAGTTCAAAAACTTAACGAAAAATAACAAACAAATGAAATAAAATTCAGAGAAGATCCAATAAGAACAAAATTGGAGTCTGATTGGAAGGATTTAATTTGTTAAGATTCATACTTGATAAATCGATAGTTTGTTTACTGATTTATAATTTAAAACTTATTTTGAACAAAAAAGTTCGAGAATCACTTAACATTTAATGATAATTCAGCTAAAACATTGCAGAAGTTCATAAATGGATCAATTAAGAAGTTAATATTTTATAAATCATTTGAAAAATCTCAAAAACTCATCAACATCCGAAGAAATCTATTAAATATCTATAACAAATAATCTCTCTTATCTAAACACCTTTAAAGATTCTAAAATTCAATATAATTGAGCAATCAAGCTTAGTTCTACTAAATTTAACTTTGATCTCTACGAAAATATCTCTTCTAAATTCTCCTGATTCACTTGACAAGTTTACAATCACATAGAATTAGTAAAAATGCACACGAAACAAGAAACAAGATTTCTTTTAAATGGAAAATTTACATTTCACACCAAATGAATGCTCTACAGCTTTATACTGGCCAATTTCTTTTTTTATTATTATTTTGTTTACCGAAAAAGGAGTAGTAGAGATCCGAAAAACGATTGAAAGTTATTATGGCGATTAATTGCTGTATCTGGATCGAATTTTGTATTCCCAAAAACCTTTGAAAATTTTCATTTAATCGATTATGTATTTTAAAAAAATATATATTAATGATTTAAATTTAAGCTATGAAGCTTGAAACTCATAAGAAAATGAGAAAAAGAGATGGAAAAATGAGTTTAAAATATACATAATAAATTACCTGCATCCCGATTATTGCATATATGAAAAATAACATTGCTATGAGTAGACAAACATATGGCAGCGCTTTGAAGGACTGAACAAATGTCCATAATAATATTCTTATTGTGTAGCCTTGACGTAATAACTTAATTAAACGTGCAGCACGAAACAGTCGAAGGAAACCGACATTAAATGAGTTTTCCTGCTTAAGGGGAAAAGTCAAAAAGTCAGTATACTTTGAAGTATTGAAATGAGGACGAGTTCTAGGGGAATATCAACTTACTCCTAGCTCCAGCACCAGGGCATCGATAATACTTCCGATAACTGTTATAAAATCAAACACATTCCACGGATCTTTGAAGAAATTCTGATGAATAATTACGGCGTGGAAAATAAAAAGTTTTTATGTTAAAATTTGTTGTTTGAAAATTTCTAAAGTTATTATAAATTTATCAAAAAAAAAAGTTTAATAAAAAATTTCTTCTTTTGTTCTTAGATCTTCTTTTTTTGTCAAAACTTAAAATTTTGTAAAAGTTGTGTAGGTTTCTGTGTTTTATTTTTTAAATTCGTCAAATTTCAACTACAAACTCTCTGTATATTTCTAACAACAATTCCTCTAAGAAAAACCTTCTAAGTTTCTTTAGGAAAAAGTCAACAAATCCTAAAGGAATAAAAAGAACATCTAAGATAGTTTTTACTTTATAAATCTAAGGGTGAAAAAGCTTTGACAATGGAATTTTGTTAAAGTTGGATTAAGTTCAATAATTTAAACTAGTTTGATCAAGTGTTGAACTAGTTTGATCAAGATTTGAACTTGATTTAACAAATGGAACTAGTTTGATCAAGTGTTGAACTAGTTTGATCAAGATTTGAACTTGATTTAACAAATGGAACTAGTTTGATCAAGTGTTGAACTAGATTTATCAAGATTTAAACTAAGTTCAACAAATGGAATTAGTTTGATCAAAATTTGAACTTAATTCAACAATTTGAAATAGTTTGATCAAGATTTGAACTTAATTCAACAATTTGAAATAGTTTGATTAATATTTGAAGTTAATTCAACAATTTGAAATAGTTTGATTAATATTTTAAGTTAATTCAACAAATGAAACAAGTTAGATCAAGATTTGATCTAGTTTGAAAAATAAAACGCTTTAAATATTGTCAAAACTTCTTCATAATCCAAATTAAAATAAATTCTATAAAATCATCATGTTTTCTCTATTTACTTCGCGGACTCATTCTAAGAAGAATAAAAATCAAAAGAATAAAATGTATTTAATAATAAAAAATGTTAAAGAAAAATAAATCAAAAGCAAAACTCAAAAGGTTTCATGTACAAAAGTTTATGTCAACTAAAGGACTCTCAAAATCAAAAGAAGGAAGTAAATTATTAATTTTATTTGTTTTTCATCCTTTAATCATTTTTATTTCAAATGCTTGAAACTGTAATTCATACGATGGTTATCTAAGGACTTTACGTATCGTTAAAAAAGTTTTATTAATTATGAAGCAGACTAAGAAAATTTTATGCGTGCTTGAAAGCATTTTTTTGATAATTAATTTCTGTTAAATGGAAGGACTAGTTTTGCTTAATATTCAATAAATATTGTTTTGGAGTAGGGATTATTTTTGGGGAAGAATAAACAGTAGAAATCTCATATCAATATAAAATAAATTGTTTGCGTCAAATATTTACATTTAAAAAAAATATTAAATCTAATATATATAGATATAAAAATGAATATATTCTCTACATAATGAGCCACCTAAAAGAAAATTAGTAAGACTACGTAGATGATGAAAAATAAAATACTGAATTATTTTATAAAAAAGATGTTTGATTGATGGATGGGCGATTTGAAAATTTTCTGTATTTTTTTTTAAATTTTGCAAATGTGATTTTTATGAAAAAAATGAACAAAATTTTCTATTAAAATTTCAATCGTTTTGTGTTCGGAATGAAATGAGAAAGAGTTCAGACATCGAATATATAAATTACTTATATGAATTGATATGAAAGTATGTTTATGATTCCCCAGATTTGGTGAGGGATAATTTTTGTGATGGATTTGGCGTTTTGATGCTTTTTTTATTGAATTATCTAATTAATGATATTTGTACTAGTTGCACTAAAATGATTGGTTTTTATTGAAAAAGATATTTTTAGCAAAGATTTGGATTTTGTAATGATTTTTCGGGAGTTGAATTTTAAAGCATTTTTGTTTTGTTTTTTGAAAATATAAAGCTTTTAGATTCTTTTGGATAAATTTATATACGTTTGTATGTTTAAACTATGATAAATATCAATTTAAAAATTTCTAAGAAATTATTAAATTCACTACTCTAAAGTTTAAGCTAATTTTAAAAATCTATGTTCAAAATATTTAAAAAACTTCTAATTTTTATACTTTCTAAATGTCTAAAATTTTTTTAAAACTAGTAAAATTTTAAAACTTTAATAAAAAAATGAAATGATTTCAAAAACAATTCAATATTTTTAAAATCTTCAAAAAAACTAATGTTTTAAAATTCTCCAAGAAATCTTTAAATTGTTGAGGCATAAATAAAAGTTCAACAGAACTTTAAAGTTTTAATTCAAAAAGCTAGTGTTCTAATTGTTTTGTGAAATTTACATATTTTGTTATAAAATTAAAAAATTGAAGATGGAAATTGATTTTGAATTTTGTTTTTTTAACTTTGGACTAACACTGTTGTCAGCTAGTTTGAGAAAGTGAAATATTCATTTTTAAACTAAGCGGAGATTTATTTAATTTTCAGCAAGTTGATTAAGTATGAAATCTTAAATGCATTGTTTTTCTAGATTTAAGCTAAACTGACTTATGTCCTTAGTTTTAAAGGCAATTGTTGAATTAAAAAGTAATTGAAAAAAAAATGGAAATTTTGAAAGCTAATAAAAAAAAACTGTGTTGAAGAGTAAATTTTAAGTAAATTTTCAATTTATTTTCTTTCAAATGTCGTCAGAATTCATTAAGTTCAAATTTTTCGAATCAGCCAATTTGTGGCACCAAATTTCGAATTCATCTCCCAAAAACCACATTACAAAAAGTTCCATGAAATGGAATGAAAGAATCGAAAAGTTTAACTATTGAATGAGAGAAATGAGTGAAGATGAAAATGAGAGAAAAGAAAAAAAAGGAATTAAAAAATAGGAAATATGAAAGAAAAGAATGTGAAAAATGTTTATCTTTTCTATTCAACTACAATGTAGCATTCCAAATATATCTTTTTAATTATTAAACGTAAGCAGATGTTTAATTATTTTAAGTATTAATTTTTAAAAAATTCTGTTTTGTTTTTGAGGTTTAAGTCAGCATAAGTTTAAGAATTTTTTTTTGTAAGTTTTAAAGTTTTTTTTGTTAATTTGTGGGTGCTAAATGTGATTAGGTACTCATTAAATGTAAGTTACGTTATGTGTATTTATAAAAATAATTAAAAAAATTATTTAAACTTTACGATCAACAAAATGACACACCGTAATCCATAATTGAAATGGTTTGCTTAATAATTAATGTTAAAAAATCATAGATTTTTATTTTGTTTTTTTTCTGTTTTTCTTCTCATTTGTAATCCCAAAAACTTTATCATTCAGGGATGTGATGCAATAAATTTAACATTTTTTTCTTGTCTTGTTCAAAAACTTTTTTTCTCTTCGTCGTTCAAAAGTCAAAGATAAATGTTAAAATACAATGAAAAAAATATATAATGAACTAATTGATATCTTTAACTCAAACTGAATTTATACATGAAAAAATAAATTTCATTCGTCTGTTTTTAAGGTCGATGTCACATGATGTGGAAGTTTTGAAGTCTTCTTGATGATTTAAAGAATATCTGGATTTATGTTTTAAGGTTTTAAAAATTAAAACTAAGTTTAACGATTAATAAATTAACTTTAAGCGTAAAAAATTGAACTTTACATTCACAAATTGAACTTTACGATCATATTTTTAAACAGCAAAGATGAAAAACAAAGGCAAAAATTGAACTTAAAGATCAAAATTCGGATTTTAAGATCACAAATTGAATTTAAAAATCAAAATTCAGATTTTTTGATCAAAATCTGAGCTTCAAGATCAACATTTTAACTTCAAAATCAAAATCTGAACCTAAAAGCAAAAGTTTAAACTTTAACAAATACAAAAGCTTTTTTGACAAATTCTCTTTGGGGCCATTCACTTATTACGTAACGCTTTTAGGGGGAGGGGGGGTCTAAGATTTTGTTACGGTTCAAACAAGGAAATTTTTTTTTCATACAAATTTTGTTACAAGGGGGGGGGGGGGTCTAAGAAGTCATTTTTTCGCGTTACGTAATAAGTGAACAGCCCCTTTTAAAATATATTAAATTCATCCAGACATTTTCATCAATTTCCACACCACGTACGAAGTCTATCATATCTAATCATAATGAATAATACTTTAATAATGTAAATTTAAAGTCATGATTTTTCTTGTTACACAAAAAAATTAACGGAAATTAACACATCCTTATTATGTCTATTCAAATTATTATTATTATCATTTTTTAAATAGAGACTTTTTTTTGCTGAATTTTTTCAATTTGTTTTTTAGAATAAGACCAATATACCAACCTTACATCCGAAGCCCATTAGCTTTAATATCGTCTCCAGTAAAAAGAATGAAGTAAAGACCAAATTCATGTAGGTCAAGATATCAATCAATAATGGTGGTGCATCGTGGAACTATAAACAGTTTGTTTGAGGTTAAATAATATATTTTTGGTTATTAACTTAGATTTTTTGATTAAAATTGTTTAAATTTTTGAAAATATTGTTTTTTAAACAAAAAGTTGACCGCGTTATTTCCATTTTCAAAGACAATTTCGAGGGAGAAATGTAAGAAGATTAAGAAGGCAGAAATTGTGTAAGTTCATCAAGATCTTCGCTGATTTTTGTGCAATGAATTAAAAAATTCTAGCAAGAATTCCTATAAAAACTTCTTTTTCGCTGTTATTTCTATATTAAATTCCTAGCCTAAAGTTAACTTTGTCATTATTCTATCGTTTATCGTTTCATGTTCTATAAACTAAAGTAAATTTAATAAAAATAATTCTGTACAATTTTTATTTGTAAAACGCATTTTTTTCTGAGAAATGTTTTTTTTTATTTTTTTCTTATATTTTCTATTATGCATGCAATATAAAGCAAATGTGATCGAGCCTATATACACTACATTCTACTCATTACTATGCCATGCCATTTGCAATATGTGCAACATTAAACTCTACACGATTAAGCAACAACAACAACAAACATTTATTTTTTGCGCGCTGCTGTATGTGTGATGAATGACTCAACATAATTTTTTTTTGTTCAAGTGAAACGTGTTCTGAAAGCTTAAGAGGAAAATGAGAACAGTGAAAAGCACATGCAATGCTACACACAAATATGCATAAAGCAACATGCAGTTTTTGTTTCTTTTTATATATTTTAGTATTTCTTTTTTTTTTTGCTTATTCGTTGATAATAATCAATATAAAAAGAGAGAAGAATTTATTTTTAGAAAAGCAGCAGAGATTTTTAAGGTTTTGATCTCTTTTGTATCACAAAAAAAAATATATATATTTAAGAATTTAATCGAAAAAATTGTGGAAAATTCTTTGATTTATTTCTTGTTTGTTAGGATTGAAATTGAAGCTTGTTAGGAAAAAATTTTAATAAAAAAAAACACAAATAAAAAAATGAGAGAGGGTGTAAGGAAATTATAGGGCACATTGAAACATAAACTTTATATTTTTTTTTACAATTAATAATTAAAAAAAAAGCGATAAGGAAAATATAAATCGGAGATTTTTTTTTGATTCTTTTTATTTTTGTGTGGTTTTTGATGCTCTTTTATGAAGATTATTGTGATGATGAGGTGAAGTAGAAGTAAGGGGTAGTGTGTTATCTTAGAGATACTAGTTATCCCTGATCTTAAAACTTAGTAATCGAAAGAGATCTAAAATAAATAATTTGGCGTTGTTTTTTTTTCAATCAAAAAAGAGATTTGTTAGATTTAAGGAATTCATGCCCTAGGATTTATAACATTCTTCACACAAAGGATAAGGTTAAGTTGCACATTCTATGTAAAACCACGCCCTTTCTTATTTTGTACTTGACTTGTCTAAAATTAAATTTTTGAATTCTCCATTGTTGGATTCTAGATCAGGTAACAGTGGTCTAATCTCTGATCTGTCTGATTGTTGATAATTATGATTTAATTATTGATCCAAGGCTCTCGCAGATTAAAATCTTCAAATAATCTTCATACAATGATTTTAATCTGCAGTATGGAGATTATTTGAAGATTTTAATCTGGAGAAGTCTTGTGCTAATCTTAGTTAAATCAACTTCAATCATTCTTTAGAATGCACAAACAACATACTGATCCTCAATCTCTTCTTTTTTACCTAGTCACATCATAAAAGAACAAAAAGTCACACACAATATCAAAAAGAAAATAATGAAAAATAATAAGACAAAAAAATAATAATGATTGTCTATTTCATACATATATGTTTTTTGTAATTATAAATCAAATAAAGAAGAGTATAATATTATGTAAAGATGCAGCATGAATCATATTTAAAGCATATTGAACAGTCTTTTTTGATTCTTCAATGTCTTAGCTTGAAGTCAAATGCCAACTCAAAAGGATATGATTGACTTGAAGTCAAACTAGGTTTCGACCTTAACTCAATTTGACTTAAGTTGAGCCTAGTCAACGAACAATATTGACCTAGATCACTCTTCAATATGCTTTACTGTAATCAATTTTTAATATGCATTTATAATTGTGTTTAGTTTATTATTTAAAAATAATTTTAAAGTGATTTGCATATATTTTAATATGATTCATGATAGATTTGGTAGTTCAGCATAGTTTTTTGTTTTGTAGTTGCTCTATTTCACCCACCTTTACACCAAATCCAATTATCTTTAGTATAGTCTCTACACTAAACATTCCAGTAAATCCCATGTTGAGATATTTGAGTGATTTTTCATAATTTTTGCTTTGTTGATGATACTTTTATGTTTTTTATAAGTTTTTTAAAGTATTTTTTTTAAAAGTTTTTTGGTTTGTGTTTTTTTCGAATGGGTTTTGTTTTTTATACATTTTGAGCATAATGTGGCACAAAAACGAATTTTAAATTAGAAATTAATTTGAAAAAAATTTGATTAGTTTTGTATATATATGATCGATAAGGAATAGAATAAGTTAATATAAAATAGAATAAAAATGATTTTTTTTGCGTTTTGGCATAGGTCAAAATTTTTCCTCGTTTAATAAAAAAAAAGTTTGTCTTTTAAGGAAAGTAAAATGATTGTCGCTTGTAAATGAGGATTAAAGATAGTCAAGATATCTTCTGTAATTTCTCAATGAAACCCTTTTCGTCATTATTTTCTTTTCAGTAAGGAAAAACAGCAGTACGAAAAAAATATTTCGATAATTTGTTATTAAAATGACATTATTATGTTTTAATTCAAAAATAAGAATTATTGAAAAAATTCAAAAATGCAAAAAAATTAAAAAAAGTTTGAAAAAACTAAAAGGATTTAAAAAATGAATTGAAAGGAATTTATACAAAATGTTTTTAAAAATCAGTGGAAAGTTTAAATCAATTCGAATTCTGTTTTTTCGTTATTAAGATTTAGAAGAAAATATCTTAAAATTGTGATTCTCTTTGTACAATAAATGTTGAAATTAAAATTAATCTTATGAATAATTTTTTTTGTTTTTAATTTTTTATATATTTAAATTTTGAAAACTTTAGCCAATTACTATGGATCGATAATTAGGAATGTTTAAAAACGTTTAAAATTGATCAAAATCAATCAAAGTCTATCAAATTCAATGAAAATAAATCATATCAACAAATAATTGATCAAATATGATTCAAAAATTGTTAAAAATGATCAATTCAAATTTTCAAAGACAAATTTTAGCAAGTACGAATAGAAACTAATTCAAATATATCACGACAATTTAGCAAACCTTAGCCAATCGCAATCTAGCGGAAGTTTTTAATATTCAATGCCAATTTACGCGATGCTTATTAATAATAACAATTAAATAGTAAGTAAACCTGTTTTGTAGAAAATTTGATGTAAATTTTGGGAAAAATAAGTCCTTTATTTCCAATATTGTTTGAATTTTCATTTTAGAAAATTAGACAATTTTTCTTCAAATTTGAAAAGAAGTTCAAATGAAATTGAAACCCTAAAGATATTAGGTTGCAAAAACAAAAGAAATTTTGCTTCTCAATGTCAATTATATTCCAAAAATTCTTCAGCAAATTGATTTTAACTTTCATTTATTAGAAAAAAAGGATTCCATTACCAAAAACAAAAAAAAAAGGACTTAAAAACATAAAGAAGGAAGAATTGTAAGTTCACGCATAGACAGGAGACCAAAAAATTTAGAAAATTTCATATCAGAATAGTAAGTTGATAGCAGCAGATAGATAAAGAGTGAATTTTTCATATAAATATTATATTGATATCATATTGTAAGGAAAAAGTAACAAACAGTAATAAGTACTCAAAAATAAAATATTATATATTTTGTATAGTTCTAAGAAAAACTTCATTATATAATGTGAGAAAAAAATTAAATTAAAAATTATAGGTTTATAAAACATATGCATATGCATCTCATTTCTTTTGCACTCAAAAACCATCAAAGACAAAAACCTAAAAAAAATTATTTTCCTGATCTTTTTTTCGGACATGCAAATTTATTCAAGGATTATTTTTTTTGGAAAATAAAGCAATTTTTTATGGAAAGTCTGATTTTTTTTTGTTTGAAAATTTCACACACTTAAAAGAGGAATTAAATTATGACTAGATAGATTGCCTTATGATTCTCAATAAAAATTAAATCAAACTCAAACGAAACTTTTATTTTTTTTGGGAAATAATAAAAGAAAATAAAAAGAAGAAAATAAAATTTTTGGTGGACACAACGGTTATAATATTATTATGACAGTAAAATAACACCATCAACAACATGCTTGTTAAACATTCAAATCATAAAATAATGAAATTAAAATTAAGTTAAGAATTTTCGTAGGATTAACTCTTTTGTTGTTGTCTTTATTTTATATTCTTATCTCTATTTGATTTAGAAGACTGAATTCTATGTTTTAATGTTTGGCAGCAATCAAGGGTTAGAAACTGATCAAACGACAGCTAATAGTTTTTAACTTAATGCTTATATATTAAATTTGATTTGAAATTGAAGAAAATTTGATTAAAAATTGAAAAAAAATTAATATTGAAGAAAATTTGATTTGAAATTGAAGAAAATTGGATTAAAAATTGAAGAAAATTTAATTTCTGCTAACAAGAACCAGCTTAAACCAAGCTAGGGGACGTTCCATAACATTTAGAAAACGAACTCGAATTAGAAATTCAAGAAAATGTTTGAACCTTAGTGCAATTGAATTTTTATTTAATAAATTCTGCAAATATCTCAATAGTTTCGTAAGTTTGCACTGGAACTAGATTAGGTTGAAATTCTAATTGGAAATTTTTCTGATTAGAATCTTATGTTTAAGATTGTTGTTTAGTTTTTCAAGTTTTTAACAAAGATTTGATATTATTAGAATCATCATTAGATATTCAATGATTGAAAAAGGTTTAGAATCAATAAAATTGTGAATTTTGAATATTTTCAAACCAGTAATGTTAAAATTTTTAAAATTCAAGGATGATATAGAGTTAATCCCGCTAAGATAGTCAATAATAACAAAAATAGAAATTAGGATATTCAAATATTTCCCTATTCTCATGAAAAAACTAATAAAAAGTAGATTTCAACGTTCTAAAATTATAAATCAATTTTCTTCATTCCTTTGAATTTTTTTAAGGAAATTTAAATAAGAATAATCTTCAAGATAGAGAAAAAGAAGAAAAAAATAAAATCAAACGTAAATTAAAAATCATAAACCAAATAGGATATAATCAAAGCAATCGCATGGGCATATAGAAAAATAATCAATCTGTCAATCTCTTCACTTTAATACTCATGTATAAAAATAAATATATATTAGTGTAATTTTATCATGTGAATGCAAATTTTATGTGAACTAATTTATCATTAATCAAAAATAAACTCAAATATTTTGAAATCTAATCTTCATTACTGCTGTTTAACTTTTTTTTTCTTTCTCAAATGTTAATTTCTTTCATCTAAATTGTTTTTAATAAAAAAAACTTACTACAAATTCAATTAAAATGTTCATTATTAATAGTAAAAAAATTGTTTGTATTTCTTTTTCAATTAAGTTTTCTGAATGATGAAAAATGTGGGGAGGAAGAAGGGTAGCTAAATTATTATTATTATTATTTTTTTTGTGGAATCAATGCAATGAATTTTTGTTTTTAATTTTTTGTTATCGAAATATTTGGAAAAACGCTGCAAGTAATTTTTTGACAAAATTCCCTCATTTTGTCAAATATTAAATAAATTCATGAGAAATATAACAAAGTTTTTTTGAGGATAGATAGAGATGAGTTAAAATAGATTTTTAATGAAAAATTTAATGAATCTTACCTTCATCATCAGCAGAAGCGTATTGAACACAATGAGCATCATTATAAAGTATTCAAATGGTGTTGATACAACTATTCGCCACACTTTATATTTAAAACTATTTCGATCTTTTGGCATATACCGTTCTAGTGGTCTTGCACCGATTGTAAAATCTATGCACGATTTCTGTTGGAAATGAAGTTAAAATTATTGAGTATTAGATCTTAGTTTGGCAAATTGAAAGGAAATAAATTGGCATGACACTTAAAAATCTGAAACCCCTCCCCACCCATAGATCAAAGGAAATTGATCCTCAATTTAAAAAGTTTTAAGCTACGTCTAAGACTCAACTTAATTAAGCAAGGTAGATTTTTTTCTCTCCTTAATCTCATCTGACAACGTCCTTAGGAAAAAGCTATAGCTTTAAAAATCTACATGAAGTCTACATATGCTTAAATATTTTTTTTTGTGTTCAATCTTCTTTAAAACCGACCATGACTTAGCTACCATTTATATGCTTTGCTCTTGGTTTAGATCTACTTAAAGGACCTACGATGGTCATGCTTATAGTACAATTGCTTTTAATATGACTCTATAAAATTGTTTAATTTGGAACTAGGTTTCTGGTAGGAATCGAACCAACATCTTCATCAAAAACAAATTTCTAAATCATAGTTGTAGTTTTTTGACTATTCACTCGACCACTAAAATGTTAATAATATACTTTCAGAGTCTAGCGCTACAGAGTCTTAGTCGACACCTAAGAGCCCTTTATGAAAAACCCTCAGCCTTATCTTCCTTCCAAAATCATCATCCTATCAACTTAAAAACCATCCCTTCTCACCTGATTCTTGTCGATTTCACCGTCTTGTAATTCGGCCTCGCCTTGCTCTTGAAATGTAATGATAATCAAGGCCACGAAAATGTTAACGAAGAAGAATGGAAATACTACGAAATAAACAATGTAAAATATGGACATTTCAATGCGAAAGTTTTGAATTGGACCCCGATTCTCATATGTTGCGGCCATTGAATGTTGCAAGATTCTGTGAATAGTGAGAAAGAAAAAAAACATAAGCAATGGAAAAGTTTCACATTGTTAAGTTATCTTTACTGTGGCCATCCTTCACCAGTTTGTACAGCAAACAGTGTCAGCATAGCAGTCGCTACGTTATCATAATGAAAGTTTTGATTATCCCATATTCTTTTCTCTTCTCTCGGTAGCATTTCATCATTATCAAATACAAAATATGATCCTCTGCAATTATAAATGATATTTAATTAAAAAATAATTGTAGATAAGGCAACAAAAAAGTGGAGCTTTAGAGACACATACTGGCATTCTTCTTCCGTATGTTTACTTGAATCCGTACACCAGAAGAATTTTCCATTGAACAGTTGAACGGCAATGACAGCAAATATAAATTGAAATAGTATATACACGATGAGAATATTGATTACATTTTTTAGAGAGTTAACAACGCAATCGAATACGGCTTTAAGCTTGGGAACACGTTTGATAGTCTTTAATGGACGCAATACTCGAAGTACTCGCAGCGATTTGATTGTTGACAAGTTGCTAGTTACTTCACTTCCGGCATCACCACTGTAAAATTGAGAGTCGATGTGGTATTAGTAGATGTGATCATTAAATGGCTGATGCAGGGTTGGAAATGGAATCCACATGTTAATTTTTGACTGTATCTATCCAAGTCAATATAATTTGACTTGTCTAGGTCAGTTAATGACACTATCAAGTGATATTGTCTTTATAAAGAGATATTGACACAATCAAGTGATAATGTCACTTCAACGAGACTCTATCCAATCCTGACCACAACCGGAAACATCAATGATCACAACAACTTACGCCATATCGAAACCGAAACTGACGGCTGCACATATAACGACAACAGCATCCATAATGTTCCAGAACTCTCTAAGATAACTGCCAGGATGCAGTATAATACCTAAATCTACGACTTTAAAAAGCAGCTCCAATGTAAATACGCATGTAAATCCATAATCGAAGTAATTTAATATCTTATTTTTTTCGGATTCCTCATCGACAGGATCCTCACAAGCGAGTGCAATTGATGATAAGCAGATGACGATCATGATGAAAAAGTCAAAATATCTTAGATTAACAACCCAATGAGCTCCACGTCGAATTGGATTGGTCGGTGATAATATAAACATTGATGAATATGGCAGCATTGGTCGAGGACCTTCTGGAATTTCCTCATCGTCATCTTTCTTGTCGTCTTTCTTACGGTGATGTTTCTTGTGGCCTGTATCGTTTGGTGGACTGCCATTTGGCGACAATCCTGGATTTTGGAGTGCTTCCATCTCTTTATCAAGCTCCATTTGTTGTTTCTCTTTATCCTCTTCGGCTTGTTCTTCTTCTGCTGCTGTTAACTCTTGAGCATTTGCCAAGTTATCGACGGCGATAGCCAAGAAAACGTTTAGCAGTGTATAGTTACCAAACAACATGAGGATAATAAAGTATCTAAAATGAGAACAAACAGAAAAAATTATTAATGAGCTGTAATTGCTTTATGCTGGCTGTAAGTAGGTCAACGGTGCACTTTTTCATGTTTTAAATGCGTTGTTCTTAATTAATTTTTTTTTTTCTGAGTGAAGATTCTTTTGGGATAAGTGATAAGTTCTAGGAATCTTGGTCAATAGTATGTTGGCAAGGGATGTCTATGGAATTGGCAGTAAACAATGTACATGACCCAATAATCTCAATATCATCACAACCAGCATAGATTCTACACCAATAACTTACAATGAGTAGAGCATTCCTTTCTTGTGTCCACCCTGCGACTCGATACCAAAGTACATGACCTCATTCCAATCCTCTCCAGTCAATATTTGAAAGACAGTAAGTAGTGCAATTGGAAATGTATTGAAATTTGTTGCTGGCGTTCCATCAGCAAAATTGAATTGACCGCCAAACAATTGCATTCCCAATAGTGCAAATATAAGTATGAACAAGAAGAGAAGGAACAACAACGAGATAATAGATCTCATTGAGTTGAGTAATGATATAACGAGATTCCTCAAAGAAGACCAGTATTTGGTGACTTTGAAGATACGCAGAAGACGTAAAGCACGAAGAACTGAGAAACCGAATGATCCGCCTTTGATTTGGGACCAGACGACTTCAAATATTGATCCACAAATGACTACACAATCAAAACGATTGAATGAAGACTCGAAGTAGATTCGTGGACCAAGTGCGTACATTTTGACGAACATTTCCATCATGAACAGTCCGAGAAATACGTATTCAGTCCAAACTAAAATTAGAATGAGTAATTAGTAAAGAGTTCATAGATTAGAAAGTGTCAAGATAGTAGAACTTGTAGAACTCTAAAAATAACTGAATTTCAAAAAACTAATATATATTGTATCAAATTAATTAAATATAAGAACTTATTAGCAGGGTGGGGAGATTTTTTGCGATTTAAATCAAAATCTCAGTTTTTTTTTTGATTTTGATTTAAATCTCAATCAAAAATTATTTTAAAAAGGGATTTTTATTTAAATCATTTTACTCAATTGATTTTTTTCTCGATTTTCGAATTGCATATAAAAATTTTATCTGGCGGGATTTTAAAATCCCAATAAAATCTTTCATACAAGAGATTTAAATCAAAATCTCAAAAAAAATCCTTTTGAAAACAATGATTTAAATCAAAATTCCAAAAAAAAAATCTTTTTGAAAAAATGATTTAAATCAAAATCGAGAAAAAAATCACTTGGGTAAAATGATTTAAATCAAAATCCCTTTTTAAAATCATTGCAAAAAGATTTTGATTTTGATTTAAATCACCCACCCTGCTTATTGCTGCATAACAGAGCAACCGTTGTTCTTGAACTGAGCAACTGTTGTTCTTGAACTGAGCAACTGTTGTTCTAGAACTGAACAATTGTTGTTTTGGTAATGAGTGTGTGTTGCGCTAAAGTTGAGCAACTGTTGTATTACACTAGAGCAACATTGTGCTAGAGTAGAGCAACTAATGTCCTAGTGCAGAGCAACTGTTGCTCCAGAGTAAAGCAACTGTTGCCCTAGACGACAGCAGCTGTTGCTTATAAATGATTAATACCGAGAAATTCATCAAACAGTTCATTCATCTTGACAAAAAAAAGCACCAAAAAAGTCTACTTACACAAAAAGTTTGTAAGAAATTCCGGCTGTCCATAATGTTCAGCAGCAACAGTGACTGTATTAAAGAACACGAGAATGATGACAAACCAATAGAACCATTGTGTTTTTACAGTGTGACGTATCCAAAACCGTAGTCGCTTTTCGGCACGCCAAAAACCTAAACATCTTCCAGGCGTTTTCACTTTGGACTTTAGAAAGCCTGTTGATTATTTTTTGGCATAAAAATGTGGAAGAAAAAACAACAAAGGAAGAAGAAGAAAAAATAGAAACGGAAATATTTTTATTAGTAAGGATTGCATGACATTAAATTCTCTAGAAAGAAGTTTATTGAACTTTCTTTTAATTCACTTGTATATTTTTTTCAGTTTCTATCGTCTTAGCTATACATATGCAAAGTATAGGTATAAATATGAAATAAAATGTATACTATGTAGTCACTCTTTCTAGCTAGCTAATTTAAAATTTATGAAACAAGAAAATTGGAATTGAAAATTCTAACACCAAAAGACCTAAATAACGAGTTCAATAGGTATTATTTTTTTCGTCTTGGTACTCAAACTCATGCTAGCATAGCCGTTTTGGTATCTAAAGAGTACATCTCTAGATATCACTATATCATATTCTCGTTGCAACAATTTTTTTGCTCTTTCCTAATGCAATGAAAATCGATTTTTGTGTGCATTTTGAGAGGCAGTAAAGGAATTTGGAAATTGGTTTTTATGGCTGACTAAGTCAGCATCTAGTTGTGCAACTGTTGTTCTAGGAACGAGCAACTGTTGCACTAGAGCCAAGCAACTGTTGTAAAAGAACCAAACAACTTATGCACGAGAACCAAGCAGCTGTTGTGTGAGAACCAAGCAACTGCTGTCCGAGAACCAAGCAACTGTTGTTGTTAAACAAAACTGAGCAACTATTTTTCCAAAATCGATGCTGGTTTCTAGGATTCTGAGAAACTGTTGCTTTGGAACTGAGCAACTGTTGCTTTGGAACTGAGTAATTGTTGTTTTTGAACTGAGCATCTGTTGCTTTGGAACTGAGCAATTGTTGTTTTTGAACTGAGCAACTGTTGTTTTGGAATTGAGCAACTGTTGTTTGCAAACTAATCAGCTGTTGCTTTAGAACTAAGCAACTGAGCAACCGTTGCTTTGGAATTGAGCAACTGTTGCTTTGGAACTGAGCAACTGTTGCTTTAGAAACAGTTAAATTTTGAATTTATTAAAAACCCTTAAATATTGAAATTAACAATTCATCTGCATCAAAAATGCGCCTCAATCATCAATTCAATTGCATATCTTTCGACTAATTTAATACTTTTTTTAAAAATTTTTTTTGCTTATTTTCTCCATTTTAAAAGTCTTTTCTTATTCATAGAAAAAAAATCTTTATATCTCTAATTCTTAGTCTAAATAAGCGTTAAAAAAGTATGAGAAGGAATAAAAGAAAATGGAAAAAAAGGAAAGAAAAAAAAATCAGCAAGAAGTAAGAAGAAATTGCAAGCAGCTAATAAACTAAATCAAGTTTTAAAAAAATCAACACTTTTCATCATCATTTCACTAAAAAAAGTTTTCTTTAAAAAATGAATGCGAAAAGAAATTATTCATGTTAAAGAGCTGTGCATGTCCGTATTATATAAAAGTTTATTATTGAATTTATCGATGACGAATTTGAAATGGAATAAAAAAGGATGTTATATGGATTGTATGTATATGTGGATAATTGAGAACTCATGTCTGGTCTTGTCGTATGTCTCTTGTGAATTCATTAAACTGCCGCATACATATCATTATGCTCTCTTTTTGTATACATTTGTTCAGGATATAATTCCATCCATTATATTCCGTACTGATATGCCATTTGAGCCATTCTAAACTATCATCTACATGCGTATTGAGCTTGTATCAAATTTGAATATCTTATTTTATTATTTATTCTCTTTCTATGCCTTCTTGTTCCACTTTTGAGTATCACTTTTCAATCTTGAAAAAGTCCCAATGAGGATGAATTGATTGGCAATTTTTTTAAGGGGAGAATTGAAGTGATTTGAGTAGGGGAATTATTTTTGGAATTAAATAATAAATAAAATATTTTGAGGGTCTAACACAATGCCTGTTTATTATATAATGCACACCTTTAAGTTTTGTTGAGAGGGGTCAATAAATTTATAAGATTCTTATAGGAAATGTGAGACAGAATGGCTTGGAATTTATGTTTTGGCTCTATTGTCAAATGAAGAAGAAGCATATAAAAATTGAGGATGATGACCTATTCCTTTTGTAAGAATGAAACAAATTTTTGAGATCGTCAAACAATAAAATTGAGGAAAGCATCCAATGGGAAGTTTTATATAAATTGAATCATTTAAAGTAAATTCTAAACTGGCATGACTGGAATCATATTATACAATTCATATGAATAGGGTTGCAATCTGCTTTCTGCTAGCAGATGAGTTAAGGGTTACAATTAGATTTCTTTGGGGTCTGAATATGCATCTTAAGTATTGCAGCTGCTTGCTTAATTATTTTTGAACCAGTGGTGTTCAAACTGTTCTCCGCGACACATAAAATAGAATGTCGTGATATTTGAATGAATCTGAATTAAATCGAAGGATTTTAGTCAAAAATCAACTTTCTGTCCTCAATGTTTGTTTTTAATAAATTAAGCTTCTGCATGTTACTCCGCCCTCAATTTAATTTTAAGAACGACCGACAAAAATTACATTCCAAAACCTCTCAACCAACAAACAAACAATAAAATACTGCAATTAAAGATCACCGTGTTATCATCGATTTCTAATTACAAATCGATGAACATCCATAAAAATAATGCCTGGATAATTTTATTTTTGTTACCGCTGAGTATTTGCAAACAAAAGGAAAATGCATAGAAGGAAGGCAAGAAGTAGTAATAAATTGAAGGCTTAAAGCATTTATTATGTATTTACTTTTGCTTAATTTAAATGCTAGTCGCTATCACTAGTCATTGATCTAATTACTTTAACTTCAGTTTGTGGTTATTTGTGTGTATTCTCTGAGGAATGGTTTTACATTATGTGAATTAAATAGGGATTCTTAATGGGCTTTTGGGGGGTTGTAAAAGTTTTTGTATGATGGAAATTTTAAGATAATTAGAGTTGATGTAGTTCTTGGGTAGGGATTCTGATTATAGAAAATAAAACTTTAATTTTGAAAATGTTTTGGAATTTTTACAGGGAAAATTATTAAAAAAAATTTGAAAATTGATTTTGAAAAGTTTTCAAAAATAATTGATTTTTTTGAATTTTTGTAATTTTTCTTCAAATTTTAAATTTTTTTCAAATTTTTCAAGTCTTTAATTTTTAAGCTTTTTAAATTTTTTTGTTGATATTTTAAATTCTTTCAACTTTTTCAATTTTTTTCATTTTTTAATTTAACAAATTTCATTGTCAAGCAACCTACTCCAACCAAAAAAGTCAATTCTCAACCACATTTAAATCCAAAATCATCCAAAAAAATCCCTAAACCGATCCCGAGAATCTCTAAATTATGAATGCTTGCATGTCTTTCTAAATGTATTGTTTTATGGATAAATTAAAAAATTATTGTAAGCGATAGAGAGCCTATATGTACGTGTATGTATGTATGTATGTATGTAAATTATTTTTTTCCTGTATGTTAATTTTTTAAGTGCAAAAATGTTTTTTGGGGCTTTTTACCTTTTTTGCGTTTAACTGCGAAAAAAAAACACAATTAACGGAATGAAAACACAAAAAAAAATATCTTTAAATTATTTTCATAGATAAGAAAAATAAAAATGATAAGGATATAGGAAATTAAGTATGTAGACAGAGAATTCAGCTAGAAATGAATTGAGATAATTTTGAGAGCTACTCAAAAAATAAAAAAAAATATAAAAAAAGATTTTTTCATTTGTTGTTTTTTTGGGAAATGATAAAGTTTAAGGATTACAGAATTATTTACACACCGAAGAACTTTTTTTTTGTATTTTTGACTACAGCCTAGAATATATTGTTTTTTTTTGTGTCGAATTAACGAAATTAAGATGTTGTCTTTTTTGTTAACTATCGATTAATAAAATTTTTCTTCATTCTAATATTAATATTTTTTTAAACATCATCAAATTGAACATAATGAAACTCACTAAGTGAGAAAAAAAAATCAATTAATTTCTTCATCTCTAAAACAAGATGTTCCCTTCTTTTCTACGACGACTTTTCCTAGGATTAGATAATCTTTCAACTCACCATCATCTCCACAGTCATCGTCAGCATCTTCTTCTTCTGTATCTGTTGATTTTGATTTTCCTAAATTTTTAAGTTTCTTTCGTTTCGCTGCTGCTCGTCTTCGTGCTGTAAATTTTGATAAAAAATAATGATTTTATTTTGTTGAAATTAGTAAGGAATATATAAAAACGATAGCTGAGCTAATGGATCTTAAAAGTGCAGAACTGTTTAAAACAGTGATGGCCAACCCATGTGCCGCGACACACTAGTGTGATACAAAAAATCCCATGAATCTTATGCCGTATGCAGTTTCGGTCATGACTTACCACTAATGTGTGTCGTGACACAAAAAAGGTTGGGCAGCACTGGTTTAAAATTATTAAAATCTGATTTATCAGTTCCGTATCCTTGAAAGATCTTGAAAGCTATTATTCTGAGAAATTAAGATTGAATATGTCGAATATACTGAGATTCAGTTCCTATCAATACCAGTAAATGTAAGTTCTAACCTAAAAGCATCAAAACCGAATCAGAACCAAAACTCCCAACAACTTTTGCTCATTACCAATAAATTATTCATGTTAAATCTATTCAATTCCACCTCATTCCCTCATAATTTCATTGACTGGATCTGATTTACTCGAAATTTCATCATAAATATTCTAATTTCTAGTCCAAACACAGGTAAATCCATGCTAATTTCCCTAACACAGAAAATAAGGCAAGAAATTGTGTATTCATGTGCGCAAGAAGTAGAAAAATTGAATGCTAATTTCTCCATCCATAAAAATTCAAAGTAAAAATGAAAATAATCAAAATATTAAGCTTGCTATTGCGGGCTTGTAGCCTATAGTTCATGCATAATTTATGCAACTCTTTTAGTCCTCCAAAGTTCTGTGTATATATGCATATACACACAATATTAGTTTTTAACCTCCCTTTGTTATGCATACATAATGAAATATATATAATAATATCTATTCCCAATTGAAGAATTACATTGTTTTACACATCACACGAAATGTGCTCCGGTTCCAAGAACTGTATAAAAGGAAAATTCATTTCATTGGAAATGTACGTGGGCACTCATACAACTGCGCATGTCGACAAGCTTATGACGGTGCTTTGACACTAAAAAAAAGTCTACAATTTTTTTTTTACTTCCATTCAATTTTTTTTCGATTCTTAAAGAAGAAGTAAAATCGTGCCAGTCATGTAAAATGCAAAAACAAGAACTTCTTTTATGTTATGCTCTATGCTGTATATGCTTTTTGGTACATAAAGAAATTCCATAGACTGGAAAACTATTTCTCGCCCTCCCCAGTAAAATGAGCATAAAGAAAAATTTCAGTTCCTTTTTTCGTTTGCTTCTTTTCTTTGTGATGTGTGCAAAAGTACACACAGCAGTAGCACAAGCAGGATTCAGTCAGTGGGAATGAGTGTGGTTAACTATAAATTAGCATTGTAATAAAACAACTAACCTTCCATAATATGCATTCTTTCTTCTTCCGTTGTACGTTCTTCAGCTAATATCACTTCCTCTGTTAAATTCCATTAATGGTGTGGTGGTTCGTCATTATTATTGAGTTGATGTTAAATAGATTTTTTTTTGTTTGTTTCGTGAGTGGAAATGAATGAAAGTTTTATGAGAAAAATGTGAAGAGATGTAGTGGAAGAGGGGTGGGATTGAAAAATCTGATGTATGACTGACACACTTTGTGTGAACTATCTCGAGTGGAAAATTTGATTTTTAGGGGGAATTTTGAATTGAACAGTTTGTTTTTTAAAATTTTTGTTGGAATTAAGCGTTAATGGATTTTTAATATTTTAAGGTTTCAGGAAAATTTTTTGTTAAACTAGCTGATGTCTTGTTATTTGGTAAATACTGCTGGACAAGCTTAATATTGCAGACTTAGTTGAATACTAATGAAATAGCTGAATACTTCTGAACAAGCTTAATATTGCAGAAATAGCTGAATAATTCAGAACTAGCTGAATACTGCTATACAAGCTGAATTCTGCTGAATTAGCTGAATGCTGCTGAACAAGCTTAATATTGCAGAAATAGCTGAATAATTCAGAACTAGCTGAATACTGGTGAGTTGGTTGAATTCTGGTGAACCAGATGAATACTGCTGAACTAAATGAATACTGCTGAATTAGCTGAATGAGCTAAATTAGCTCAATATACCTGGATATATACTTAGGAACCAGCTGATCTTCAAAATTCCAAAAAAAATCCACTAAACCTTTAATTTTAATTTCCATCCCAAAATTCCAAAAAATCAAATCTCTCATAAATTGCCAAAAAAGTGTGTCCTGTCATACATCCTTCATTCACAAATGTTTTATAGCTGTCGTTAAGCGAACGACAGAATTATATAAAATCAACAGTTAATTTCAAGAGTTTAAAGTAAAATAGTAATTCTTTTAGTGCTATATTAAATTTACAATGTACATGCATATTTCATGCATATTTATAAGTAATTATTGATAGCAAAAGGAATCTTTAAGTAATATATACACATTTGTAACGATCATTTACGATTAGAAGTTTCGCATCTTTTTTGAGCTTGAGAAATACCAAGCAATTAGAAGTAAAAAGTTCTTTCCCTTCGTATCGTGATCGAGTTAACACGTCTTGTTACAATTTTTCTAAAACCTCCCCTTATGGTTTAATTAGTGGAACCCAATAAAGTGAAATAAGTGTTAAAAGAAAATTATCGATTTGTTACTCAATCACATCTTTTAGAAAAATTTACAAATTTGAGAAAAATTTAGTGCTTAACCTTAATTTGAGAAATTAAAAGAAAGCTAATGCTTTAGAGCTTTGAATTGGCTATTAATTAGTTATTTTAGTGCTGTAACTGTTGAATAAGTGGAAATTGATTAAGTTTGAATAAAACACGTGGAAGTCTCGCGTATTTAGTCTCGCAAAAGTCACGCGATATAATTTCGGCATCAAAAAGTTAATCTTTTCTACTTTGACGTCATATTGAGCATTATTCGACATCCAGAAGCATAATAGAGCACATTATATTGAATAAGTTGGCCAGAAATCAACATCCAGTAACCTCTGTAGTAAGTACAATAGAATAGTTAACCATTTTGTTTGTTTTTCTCTTCCTCGTGCATTCATATTGATTTGTTGTCAAGTAACAAATCAATCAAGTTCAAGGCTACAGAGGCAATCAATTTCTGGTCAGCAAGCCAATCAAGAGGCACATTTCAAGCCAATCAAGTGGCAAAATTTGCATCGAATTTACTCAAATTTATAGTCACCAAACAAGAGGTGACTTACCGCCATACAACAGGCACCAAACAATCAGTTTGGACATCAAGGAAGTCGTCGAGCAAAAGACGCATCGTCAGTCACTTGTGAGATAAGTGCATCAGCTAGGCATCGAAAGGGTGCAACAAGTTAAGTCGTCGAGCAAAGGACGCATCAGTTAGTCACTACAAGAGTGCAACATTCAAGTCGTCAGAAGAAAGGCGCATCAAATAGTCATCAAGAAGGTGAAACATTAGAAGTCACTATATCAAGTGCAACAATTAGTCACTTAAGATAAAAGTGCATCAATTCAAGTAGAAGGGAAGCATTTGAGGACGGCAATACGTTAATTGTATCTTCATCTTATCATTTATTGCTAACAAGTAGCAAATAGTCATCAAGTCGTTTGTGAAACGCAATACAAATTTGCAAAAGTGAACAAGTCACTTTAAGATTATAAAGTTACATTAAATAGACATCAGAACATCAAGCATCATGACAAGTGCTGAAGAACTCGGAAGTTTAGCTCAACATTTTATCAGTGTTCCTGATGCTAAGGCACAGTATCGTGCAAAATATGCGACGAGCAAAGTCGTAAACAATTATATTTTCTGCATTCAATTAATGAGAGAAAATGCTAGATGCGGTTTAGATAATGACTGCAAATGGTTCGCGGCCCAGCAATCTGAACGTGAATATGAGGATTTACAAAAGATGGTGCTATGCATAACGTGTGATAATGTTTATCACTTACGCTGTTCCGGAACTGATTTTGCTGCTGTAACTGAACAACAACTTCCATGGATGTGTGCGAAATGTTTGAGGAATCCCATGAATGCTGACGCACAAGGCTTAGTCAGCGCAGGAACTCATACATTGTCATTTGATGAGAGAATCAAATGCTATATCAAAGTCAATGTACGCGAAGAAGAGTCATCAGATTCAAGTGCTGATGAATATGTTGAAGGGACTGTACATATTGATGCTAATGGTAGCGTAGTATCAAAAAATCTGAGGACCGATGTAAGCAAGTTACAAAGGAAATATAAGTCCATTAAGAAGTCCAACAAGGAATTAAGGAATCTGGTAATAGCGCAGTCAGATCAACTTACTCAAATAATGGAATTACTAAAGTCATCACAAAATGCAGGTTTGCTTGGAGCAAGTCCAAGTAGAATCGCACAAGGTACAGTAGAGTCATTAAGGCCACAATATACATCATTCACAAATGCGGTGTTAAATGCAAATAAAGCATCTACGCGCATTGATGATGAAATTAAAAGATCAAGTCAAGTAATTGAGGAAATGATTGGAGGATCAACTAGCAACGAAGCAATTCAGAAACCTTCATCACATCCACCGGAAATAAGTGACAATGAGAGTCACATTGAAACAACTTTGAGGCAGCTCAACAAGCTGTCGTTGAATGAAATTCGTCGTAACTTACCAAAGATTGAAAAGTTTGACGGAAATCCTGAAAGATGGTTGACGTTTGAAAGAGCAGTTATGAGGAACTGGAAAGAAGGAGAATATACTGATGACCAAATAAAGTCTCACATCAGACAAGCATTAACGGGACAAGCCCTAGCACGTGTTGATAGTTTATATCTGAATATGTCATCACAGAGACTTATGGATTATTTGAAGGATAGTTTTGGGAATGCATCGATTGTTGTAGAGAGTGCTCGCTCAAAGTTGATGAGTGCTAAATTATCCAAACCCTTAACTCATGCATCATGTGTTGAAGTAACAACAAGAATAGCAAACTTTATGGCAGCATGCAGTTATGCTGGAATAACAATAGCAGACACAAGCATTTCATCAAAACTTCACATGCAGCTTGAACCGTATCATCAAGAGTTATATTACAAATTCTTTTATGAAAAGAATCCAAAGGCCATTACAAGAATGGAACGATTGGACGTTCAGTTTGAGTTTTTGAACAATCTTTCAAAAACACTTCCGTTAGGACAGTTCAAATTTGAGGATGATAAAGGAAGCAAGAATAAAGAGAAGGATTATCAAATGATGACAGCATCATGCAGCAACAACACATTCCAAGGTTCGTCATATAATTCAGATGACTACAAATACGAGATCAGAGATAATCAGACAGCAACATACTTAGGATACAACTTAGAGAAAGTGAAGGAAATTCCAAAGAAGTGTGAAATTTGCTCAGGTACCAATCATTACACTGTAGAGTGCAAGACTTATCGTGAAATGAAAATGGATGAAAGGTATAACACCGTTAGGACTAAACATTTATGCATAAACTGCTTATTATCAACGCAGCATTTTGCAAAGGATTGTGATGTCAAACGAAGTTGTGGATTTAAAGTAGATAAATCTACAAGATGTTCAGCAAAACATCATATTACTCTTCATCGTGGTAAGAGTGAATACAATTACGGCAAACCGAAGAAGAAGCCGAAACAAAGCAGCGATTCGTCTTCAAGTTCATCGTCATCAGATGAAGAGAACAGTTCAGTAACCAACAAGGAAGTACAACTAGACGAAGATGAAATACTTTCAAAGCCACAGGACAAGTGATCTTCTGGGGCGCGCGAGGATGTCGTTAAGCGAACGACAGAATTATATAAAATCAACAGTTAATTTCAAGAGTTTAAAGTAAAATAGTAATTCTTTTAGTGCTATATTAAATTTACAATGTACATGCATATTTCATGCATATTTATAAGTAATTATTGATAGCAAAAGGAATCTTTAAGTAATATATACACATTTGTAACGATCATTTACGATTAGAAGTTTCGCATCTTTTTTGAGCTTGAGAAATACCAAGCAATTAGAAGTAAAAAGTTCTTTCCCTTCGTATCGTGATCGAGTTAACACGTCTTGTTACAATTTTTCTAAAACCTCCCCTTATGGTTTAATTAGTGGAACCCAATAAAGTGAAATAAGTGTTAAAAGAAAATTATCGATTTGTTACTCAATCACATATAGCATTAAAATCGAATTTTATACACTACCAGCTTTACAAATCCATTCAACATAGCCATTTAATTCTTTTTCTAATTGTTGCTGTCGACGCAATTTTAGAAACTCTTGTCTATTTTCTACTTTCTCTCTTTCCTTAGCAAATTCTCTACAGGGATTGAATGAAAAGAAGTTGTATAAAAATATGGATTATAGTTTTATTGGGTTATGAAATGGATTTATTGAATAACATTAATGATTAACTTTTGTAAAAATGATAATAATGTTATGATTGAAAAGAAGATGTTGGTTAAAGGAATTAATAAGGTTAAGTCTCGGGTGGATTGAACTTAATTTTAGCAAGTAAGTTGCTTCTTAGGCTTAATAGTTATCTATTTATGTTAAATGAATGTCAAGATATTTCAGAGAATGCTTTACATTCCTAAATATCCACTCTGGATCAATATTGAATGAAGTGATTACCTGATATATTGAAAAAAAAAATAATGAATTCCCAAAATAGCCTCAAATATAATTAAGATTGATTTTGAAAAATGGATTTTTCGATTTTAATTTGTAGAGATTCTGCAGTTGAAGCATATCAGATAATAATTGATAATGTGCATATTCAGGATGTATACTTTTATGTTATTGCTCTTGTAATTACGAATGTTATGAATTTAGATTTGTATGGAGTTATTCTGGGCTAAAGATAGTAGGGTTTTGAGGCATCTAAGTTATAATTAATGCAACAAAGCATAGGGAGAAGATTCTTAGAGAATCTTTAATTCGGAACTGGTTGAATGCTTAAATCTCAAACTAAGCAGTTTGAAACTTTGGTATAAAATCATATCTAGAAAAAAATCTGTCATTGCAAGAGTAAGACCTCCATGACTGTGTGGTTAAGCAACTTTAGAGGACATAAGTTCGATTCCCACTTGAGGCCAGTGTCAAAAACCATTTGATAGAGTATTGATACTATAGTCCCTTGCTTTTCGATGACAAAGGACGGTTGAAAATCTCAATAACATTCGTTAATTGAAACAAAAGTAATTCCAGACAATAATCATAGAAATGAAAGCTAGACAATAGAAGTTCAACATGAAAAAGCTAAACATTTCGAGAATATTTGACGACATTCAATCAATTATTAACTCTTGGCTTTTTAGGCCAATCCAAACGAGCTCGATGACAAATAATAATAAAAAAATTAATGCAATGAAAAATTATGAAATAAAATCAATTGGATCTAATGAAAATGTCAAAAAATACGAAAGTTATATGAGTCTCATAACGAATCATAGTCGATAGTTGTATTTAGCAATAAAAAATCTTTTTAGCGGCATTGGGATCTTCTTCTTATGACTGTAGATAAAGGGAAAAAATTTACTTTTTTGTCAAATAATATTTTCAATTAAATAACACAATAAGCAATAAAGTGGAAAAAAGGGTCGACATCTTTTTACTTTTGCTTACTCTCTCTTCACATGTGGAAAGGCTTATAAGCAGTAAGTGAGTACGAGAGAAGGGGGGTTAAGCACCTAAATATTCCTATATATATGTACGTATTGAAATATATACAATAGAGAAAGTAAAGCAAAATGAGACACCTGCTTGTGTTATCCAGTTTAAATATGCCGACATTGCTTCGGTAAACATTTGACGTGATCGACATTTGTGAAATTGAGCACGACGTTCGACGCGACCACGCTCATTGGAAAATTCTCTTGCGTCAGAGAAATCAATTGTGATATAATATGAATGGTGAAAAGTTGGAGAAAGAAGAATAGGAAAAAAGATGAAAAAAATTGTTTTTTGAGCATGGAACAGGTAATGGCAACATATACAAAATAAGAGAATTGAAAATATAAATAGAATAGATAATTCATCCTAATATTGATTGTAGGACGATGACAATGCCGCTTTTATTTTAAAGAAACTTTGACATAAATAAATCTTGAGTACGTAAATTATAATGTAAATTATTCAAAGTATCGAGTTATATGGATTTCAGACTTGAAGATTCTGTGGTTAATAGTAAGATTTATTGCTCAATTCAGTTGACTAGTTGCTGAATTCAGCTAATTAGTTGCTCAATTTCCTTAAATAATTACTGAATTAAGCTTAATAGTCTTTGAACTGAGCTAAATAGTCGCTGAATTGAGACAAACAGTTGCTGAATTGAGAAAACAAGCTGCTGAATTAAGATGACAAATTGCTGAATAGTTACTGAATTCAGCTGAAATTTGCTGAATTAATTGTTGCTGAATTCAGCTAAAAAGTTTCTGAATTCACACAAATTGCTCAATACACCACAGAATCTACCGAATCATCATAATGGATGTCATAACTTACCCACTGAGAACACCAAGAACAAGGTTGAGCATGAAAAATGAACCCAATACTATAAGAGGCACAAAATATATCCAATTGAACGTTGAACCGAGAGCATCGTTGGTCTAATGAGAATAAAATGAAAATTGTTTTTTTTTTGTTTTTCATTTACGCACGGAAAAGGAACAAAGAAACACAGAGAATAAAACTGTAGCTGTTAATAAGAACAAAGAAAATTTCCTTTTGTTGTTGCGCAGCACAACAACATCAAGAAATTTTAGCACACAATACAGAAAAAACACCAAAATAACAACACATCCATCCATTTAGATCCCGTAAAAGAGAGAGAGAGAGAGGAAGCTATAGCCCCCCGTGATTGATGATATACTCCATGATTTTGTAGTTGGCTGTTCACTCGATTTGTCATGATGCCGTTTTTTTTCACGTTGGTGCGTAAGCCTTACATTTATATATCGCAATATAGATAACACGATTTTGCTTTCTCTGGTATGTGTGTATATGTCTCTTGCTTTATCTCTCGTGCCGTGTGCTTCATTCAAACAACATTTGACTAAATGATTGCCAATGAGCAAACACAAAAATAACAATAATAATGTGTTGACTTATCATTCACATATATTTATATTTTTGGGGTTTGTAATAATTTTGGTGACAACAAAAATAGACAAAAAGTGATTTTGAAAAGCTCGTGGCATGAGGTTTAAGTGTTGGTAATACATAGTTCATATTTCATTATGATTATTATTATATTACCACCCCTCACAACAAAAGCTCATACATGATCATTTAGTCAAATCAATTTGAATCTATAAGTACGAAATATTCAACGTACTTAATTTACTGTTACACATTTTTAACAAATTAAACTAGCAATGTTATAAATGAAGTAAATAAATACCCAATATAATATTGCAGTCCAACCTTCCATTGTAATGCATTGAAATACCGTCAACATAGCAAAACCTATGTTATCAAAACTTGTTATGCCATAATTGGGTCCTTCCCATTGTTCTATGCATGTACTTTCGTTATAATTACATGTGTATGCACCTGCCGGTGCAATTGTCTTATTATCTGCGTTACAGGGAGTCGCCGCATCACCCTCTTTAAATAATTCTTCTACAAAAATAATTTTTTTTGGATTAAAATGTTAGAGAAAAAAAAATTAAGTTTTAGTGAGAATTTGCCAATTGTGAGGTTATTAAAAATTTGGAGTGGATCAATATCAGATTGTCATATCCTTTAAATGAGATATGAAGGTCTGAGTTCTATAAGATTGACTTGATGAGCTGAATTCTGAAAGAACTCAGGCAATTCAGTTAAGTATGCTGAATTCAGCAAGTTTCAGCTGAATTAGCTGAATTTAACAACATTATCTGAATTAAGCAAATTAAGCTGAAATTGCTGAATTAAGCAAATTAAGCTGAAATTGCTGAATTCAGCAAATTAACTGAATTCAATGAAGCTTATTGATTAAACTAAATTGAAAAGTTTTCAGCATTTTTCCTGAATGTGCTGAATTCAACATTTTTGCTGAATAAGCTGAATTCAGCAAATTTAGCTTAATATGCTTATTCCAACTTGGCTGGTTGAAAACAGCTACAACAAGTCAATATATAATACTAAACAATAAATTGTATGGTTCAAAGAGACATTCATATATTGATCCACAAGGACAACAGTTAATCAACTTACTTATGTCTTCTAAACTATAACAACTTTTGTGCAGAGCACCTGAATAAAATTCAAGTCCTATGATTGCAAATATAACGATTGCAAACAAGACCAAAACGCCGATTTGAAGCAATGGTGCCATAGCCTTAATTATCGATTTTAAAACTACTTGTAAACCTGCAATTTTTCATTTTCGTTGTTGTTGTAGGAAGAGAAAGAAATTTTTTCAATGTAAAATGTTGGAAGGAAAAAAAAGAAGAAGGAAGAAAAGAAATTCTGAATCAGTAAAATTTCCCATGGTTAAAAATTCTAAGAATATAAAAAGTTTTTTTTTCTGCTGTTACTTTATATAGGAAATCTACTCGGAATTAATGATGAGCTAATGGAAATTATGACAATTTAATTTTCCAGCTAAAAATAATCCTACATATTTGCTATAACTGTGCTGTTGAATTTCTTATGAATTTCCGTAACATTTCCCTAAAGTCGAATTACTTGAACCATTTTTAGACTCGAATATTCATTGTTGCAGGTTTAATGATGGTGATGTAAAAGAAAATTCGATGGAATATAGGATACTTAGCTGGTTATTGCTTGTCATGACAAATCTGTAAAAGAAGTTTGACTAAAAAAGTGTAAATTTAATGAAATTTCACAAAGCAGAATTGACTTTGTTGGTTTAAAAAGGATACAAGTTTCTCATCGGAGCGCAGTCATGAACTTATGGAACAATTATTTCTCTAAGCGAAATCTAGTTTAGAAGATCTTCATTTAATAAAATTTTAAGGCACTTTGGAGTGTGTTTAGCATTTTTATAAGCACTTAAAGTTTCAAATTAAGCAGAATTGCATTTAAAACTGTCAGCAATTTAGTGCAAAATGAAGCAAAAACTATAAAATATTTTAAGTTTCCAAACGACATAAAGACTCAGTCAGCAGTCCAATTTAATATGAACTCAATATGGTTGCATTGGTCAAATTTATGCCGCTTGATATTACCACCTGTAAAGTAGAATTATTAATGAAATTAATGCGTTCCTAAATGTTTAAGAGCTAGATCAGGTTTTGAGTAGTTGTCAATCTCAGATCTAGATCTTTGTTAATTAGGGTTTATGAGTTTTGGTTTTGTAAAAAGATTGAACTTCAATCTTGCCAAATGCCAAGGATTAGTTCATATTCCGTTTTGTAGAAATTATATGGCACATAGGCGAATATGGGATACGAGTATGGGAGCTAATTCAGTGCAAAGCTGACACTACATCGTCTTCATTATTGGCTTATCTTTATTGCCAGACTTAAGTCAACAAAGATACAAGAAGACACACTTTTGAATGTTGTAATCTCATGCTGCTTTCACTAGGTTTTGAGCCATCATGACAACATGGAAGCAGCATTCAATAGTGCGTCTTCGGAACAAAAAACATTAGTTTCTAGTTTTGTAAGGACGAATTATGCATTAAATAGGAAAGCTAATGTCAGCTTTGAAACAATTTTTTTGGCTTTTAAACCTGCAATCAGAAATATAGGAAAAAGACTTTGAAGTATTGATAACTTTTCTACCCATTTCTTAAGCCTGTTTGCAGATTCTCTAAAGCTTCAGTAATCCCATATAAATATCCAAGTCAACACAATCTTCCATGCAAAATATCCTAATTAACATAGTCAATGTTGCTTGGAAAATTGCAGAATCTTGGAACTACAACATAGTTGTTACATCTTTTAAACAACATCTTTTGGCATGACTGCTCAATGAATAAGAAATCAAGTAAACTTAAAAAAAGAAGAAATATGAAAAAAATATAAAATATAATCTTATGTCTCCTCTCAAATTCTTTACAACTTTGTTGTGATTATTATAATATCATCCTCTTAACAGCGTTAAGGCGCCAGCATTGACAGTTTAGTATGTTATCAACTTTTTTTTGGCATTATAATCTTCACAACTAGAGAGGTTTGTGATGTAATCATTTCATGGAAATAAATTTAAACTAGTAAATAAGAAAACGATAAGTTATGTGGATTTAAAAAAAAACTTCTGAATTTGTGTGAATTCAAGAAATTTTGATTGTGAGTCATTACATGGAGTCATACAAGTTAGAATAAATCATTCGAATATGAGATGTATATTTCGATAGAATTTTGGAGAGAAATTTTGAAACTAAAGAATTAAATTGACTTCGAATTGGTTCCAGCTGAATTGAAATTCGGACAGAAGGAAAACGACTAGGGTAAAAATTATTTTTCCTTTATCACGGAAATATGGTGGAAAATTTTCTATTGCGGATATGGATGGTGAAGAAAATTTTCCATCGATAATTTTTCACTATGTTTTCCAACCGCAGCTGAGAAGTTGATTTAATGATGATGAAAAACTTTTTTGGCGCAAAGATTTGAGCTGAATTAGCTTAGTATCATTCAGAAATTAGTGATGAATTGAAGTTTGTTCTTCTGAAGTGTGCTGAATTGAAAATTATTCAGCTGAATAGTGCTGAATTGAAATTTACTTAACTGCATAGAATTGAATTGAAACTTAATTAGCTGAATAGTGCTGAATAGAAATTTATTCAGCTTAAAAATGTTAAATTGAAACAAACTAAGCTGAACTTAATCTTATTCAGCAGAATAGGACTAAATTAAACTTTATTTAGCTGAAAAGTGCTGAATTGAAACTTATTCAGCTGAAAAGTACTGAATTGTAATTTGTTACGCAAATTAGCACTGAATAACAGATATGTAATGATAAACGTCAGCTGTATAGTGCTGAATAATGAAAATTAGAGCTCTTTTGAGCTGAATAATTCCAAATTACATTCCACATACTAAGACAACATTACTTAATAATCTTATCAATTATATGACGTCAATTCAGCTCAGAAATCTTCGCAAATTTTTCAAAATTATTAAATTAAGTTTGGATCTCAAAATAAAAATTCAACAGCACAGAATCTATGAATAAATTCTCAAATTACGAATTACTACCTATAAAAACAAACAAAAAATGTCGTAACTTATGATTAGTTTCGGTTGCTATTCTACTCACTAGGAATTCCAGATACTAATTTCAAGGGCCGCAATACTCTTATGGCTCTCAATGTTCTGAGATCTATATCTAATCCTTGTTCTGGCAACATTGTAATGAACCTAATTTCATTTGTTTTTTTTTCGAATATGAGTTGAGTAATGATAAAATTGAAAATGTAAAATTGTATAAAAATTTATAGCATTTTGTAAGTATTAAGTATGTATAGTAAAAATTGATAAAGTAAAGAGTAAGTAAGTAAGTAAACGAAATTATATACAGAAGTAGTATAAAATTATGAGAAATAAGTAAGTAAATGAGAATCGATAGTGGAACTATTTTTATACAAAAAAAAAATTAATGGCTTTCTAGAAAGCTTCAAGCGCAGTCAGGTCATTGCATTTTAAATAGACAGATTGTGTGTCTATCAGCCGCCATAGCTTGATTGCTATGTTATTGGGCATATGATTCAATTAGGTCAATATTCTCAAAGCTTGCAAATAACCGTTCCAATTATTGTTTGTACTCATATTTTAGTCTTCTTATGGTTCAATTGCAGAGAGCAATGAGAGTAAACATACTTTTGTGCAATAATTGATGATATAACTACTGTATACAACGACTAGAGTTGACAATTGTCATTTGATGATAGTCAACATTGTTAGAATTGATTTCGAAATCGTCAAAAAGTTTTACAACAATAAAAATAAATCATGACCTCGAAGCTGGCAAGAATGTATTGGAAACTATACATTTACTAATTATTGCATTCCTGCCAACACGAAAATCATTTTTATGGCTTGTATAAAAACAGTTCCAGACCAATTAAAAACTACAGAAATCATATTACCGATAAAAAGTATCGATGTAACTAGAAAATCACTATAAATTTTTTTTTAAAGGGTTTATTTCTAATCAAACATTTTGTTACTCTCCCTTGCATATTGCTAATGAATTAAGGGTTGGTAGTTGATGAAAAAAATTCAGAGTTTAGCTATAGATGAAGTAGTGAACTCTAAACCAATATATTCATTGCGAGGTTAAGGCTTTTATGATTAATAATAAATTTTAAAAGTTGATGGTTTGGTTCTTTGTAAAGGAGGATTAGTTCTTTGTAGAGTGGGATTAAGTTCTCAGGAAATAAAAGGTAAATTAGGATTAACTCTCTGAGAAGTAGGTTTGGTTCTCTGCAAAGAGGGATATGCTCTCTGCAAAGCAGGTTTGGTTCTCTGTAAAGCAGGTTAAGTTCTCTGCAGAGCAGGATTTGTTCTCTGCAAAGCAGGTTTGTTTCTCTGCAAAGCAGGTTTGGTTCTCTGTAAAGCAGGTTTAGTTCTCTGCAAAGCAGGTTTGGTTCTCTGTAAATCGAACCTTTAACAATAGAAAACTTCATAAGCCATGAGCTATTACAACAATATATTGCCTTAAAGATTTTTCTTTTCTAAAAATTTTCCACTCATCTATTCTAATTATCTACACATTTTCAAGCTACAGTTCACTCATTAAGAATTATCTTCATAAACTACCGATCCTTAGACTACAGGATGAATAAGTTCTCTGTCTCTAGTTATTATCCTATGAACTAGATATACATTTGTAATTAATAGGACTGAAATTGCTAGCATCTGTTTAGCAATAAATATTTCATCTCGTTCCTATGTACAGACACAGACATTAATGAGGCACGCTTCAACTATCAATTAGCTGTAAAACGATTTTTTAACATTTTTTTATGAAAACAAATTATATTTTTTTGTTATTTTTTTTTTTCTGGCTATATCTAGCGACAAAACAAATGGGAATATATATATAAATATAAAAGCATGTTGATTTCACGAGTTGCTTACTTGGTATCCTAGATACTAATTTTAGTGGCCGAAGGACTCGAAAAGACCGTAACATTCTTAAATCAACATCAACATTGGCCTCAGCGAACACAGTCATTGAACTGCATATATGCAAGTGGTAGTTTTTTTTAAAGTATACGATATTAATTAAATTTATTATGTTTGAGATTATTGCTGTATGTACTTAGAGTATATACTCATAAAATTATTTATAGAATTGAAAAAAAAACGAAAAAAAAGTAGAACATAGAAATAAGGAAAAATGGAAAAAAATAGTTTATAGAAGAGAATTATGTCAGCCAAAAAGAGGCATGACATAAAAAATGTTACTAACCCCGTGACTACAACAAAAAAATCCATTATGTTCCAAATATTCCTGAGGTATGAGTTTTTATGCAACACAAAGCCTAAGGCGAGGATCTTGAGAGATGCTTCCACACAAAATATACCTAAGAAATAAACTTCCGTTTTTTCCTATTCCAGACAGGCAGAGAAGTTGTTGAGAAGATAACAAAAAAAAGTAGTTGCAATTATTAAAACTGTCAACACGGTTAACATTCATCATTATTACCAGTTTGAGAGCCAACATCGTTTTATCGCCGTTTGGTAAGTGCTCCTCGAGGGCCAAAACTACGCAATTTGCTATGATTGTCATTAAAACAGCGTACTCAAAGGGCGGCCATTCGATAATAAATTTGGTATAACGTCTAAGTATATTCTCCTCGGAGAGTATGAAGAGTGATGTTGGACCACTCACCGGTGGTCCTTGATCTCTAGGGCCGCCCATTCTATCAGCTAAGTGATAAGAATCGCGACCCAAGTGTTGACGACCGCCTGAAGTTTGACCAGCGAGTGCTGCTTCCTGAGCTGCTGCCAATCTACGATATTATTTTTCAATTAATTTTTTTTTGTTGTAAACTTATTTGACTTTGCGACATGATTAATATTATCCACGAAAAAAAATTTATTATTGTTATTACACTCGATGATGACAAAATGACTCGTAAACATAAAGCATAAAAGTAAATTTTCCTTTCATCTTTGATTGCCGCAGACATTTGAAGTTTGACGAAAGAAGAGGCGAGTAGAGTCAGGCCTAGTAATAATAATCAAAATTCAGACTCTCAGGCACCGACAGAATAAGAATGGTTTGAGATTCAACTTTATAGACTATAGGCGGCAGAGTTTCGCAATGATGAACAATGAGTAATAAGAAATTTATATTTTTTAGCACATTTTGCCAAAATAGATGACAAATTAAATTTATTTCTTGCTGACTGAGTCAGCCAGCCAGGCTGTGAAGGTTTTTTTATTGGTGATGCTGTTATGAAGTGGTGTAGGTGCAATGGATGGAATTATTATAGTTATTGTCAAAAAAATTCACTGTAACAGACATATTGCAGTCAAAATTTACTGAGCTATGGGACTTGAACCCTTATATGTTCTATGTGAAATAATTATCTCTGTTTAATTTCCTTATTTTTGAAGATTTTTTTAATTTGGCAAAATCTTCTATTTAAAATTAATTAACACCTTCTTACCTCTCCCAATTTCCAAATTCTTAGTAATTCTTAACTCCTGCCTATACCATGAACCACGTCTTTCTCTAAACTCTGCACCAAAATTAAACCACATCATGTCAACCTTAACATCCCATTTTTAAAAATTGTCTACTTGACTTCTTCATCATTCTACCCAACTTTATGAATAATTCCATCCTCACTAGACCTTCACCAAAAAAAACAACACTATAGTCAGCACATTTTCAGTAACCTTCAAAACAATTTTTTATGTCTTTCGATTTCCCAGAAATATTTTTCTGTGATTTCTTCTACTTACTTCCTTTGTCATTTCGACACCAAGGAACTAAAAAGAATACCCTTGACGTCATTCAAATCGAAGAGCAGATTTTCCCTCACATATACATTCATAAATACGCAAAAGACATACTTAAATGAGGGTTGTTGGTCGTTTGTGAATGACGTCTATTTTATGCTAGTTTGAGATAGTAAGTTTATGATAGCTAGTCTCAGTAATTAAGTTTGAGAGAACTAGTTCGAGCTAGTTTTTGATAGCTACCTTCAGATTGCTAGTTTCAGAAAGCTAGTTTAAGAAAGCTAGTTTAATAAGCTTGTTTAAGAAAGCTAGTTTAAGAAAGCTAGCTTAAGATTGCTAGTATTAGAAAGCTAGTTTAAGAAAGCTAGTTTAAGATTGCTAGTATTAGAAAGCTAGTTTAAGAAAGCTAGTTTAAGAAAGCTAGTTTAAGAAAGCTAGTTTAAGATTGCTAGTTTCAGAAAGCTAGTTTAAGAAAGCTAGTTTAAGAAAGCTAGCTTAAGATTGCTAGTATTAGAAAGCTAGTTTAAGAAAGCTAGTCTAAGAAAGCTAGCTTAAGATTGCTAGTTTCAGAAAGCTAGGTTAAGATTGCTAGTTTCAGAAAGCTAGTTTAAGAAAGCTAGTTTAAGAAAGCTAGTCTCAGGAGTTAAGTTTCAGGAAGCTTGTTTAAGAAAGTTCGGTTAAGAAAGCTAGTTTGAGAAGCAAGTTTGTGAAAGCTTGATACATTTTTATGAAGATATATGACCCGAAAAATAAAGTAGATATCATTCACAAATGCACCCCTCAAATTGATTCATCTATATATTTTTAAATAATTGAATCGGCAAATATGAAAACAGAGAGAATATTTATAGACAGAATTTCCTCAATGTGTCATCATTTTTTTGCCTTCTCTATTCATTCTTTCTATTTCCATCTCACTCGCTTTCCTTTTGTGTTATTTGTTTATTTCATTTCTTTGTAGCCTGATTCTTTTTTCTTGTGCAGATAAACATTATTTTATTATGATGAGGATTCTCTCAATTTTTTTTTTCTGTGTGTGAAAATGAAATCTCAATTCAGACTATTTTTTTTTGATTATAAAATTTTTGTATCAAAAGCATTGATTTTTTTCTTTTTCTTTTGACTTATGAAGGCTCGAAAGATTGCTGTCTGCAGTACGATTAAGCATGTCTATTTATTCGTTTTTATCATTATCGAGTGGATGTCCGTGATACAATTGCTGCTATCGTTCTTTATCATTGTTATGATTGACATTTGTATACATTTCAGCTATGCTGTTTCGAGGTCATTGTTTTTGTGGTGTAATCAGCTTATTGTTAGCAATTGATATTAATTATTTGTATTCTTAATGCAATATTGATTGGGGATTTTGGAATTATTGTAAGATAGAATGTATGAAGTAAAGATATTTATTTAACTTCTTAATTGTTTGATTTTTAAGGAAATTATTGAAATTCCTGCAAATTAGTTTAATAAGAAGTTTGTAGAGTTTGCTTCTAATTCAACCCGAATGGCACAAGTCGGTCAATCGATCAGAAATCCGGCACTAAGATGGTGTGACTCTGGCATGGTGCTGGATTTAAACCGAAGCCAGCACCATTCTAAAGTCATGCCGGCTGGGTGCTGGATTTATATTCAACTGACCAACGAATGCAATTCGGGCTAGCTACTAAGTAAGTTGTTCATTTATAAATGTCGATAGTCCGCAAAAGCATGACCAAATGCATAATCTACCCATAATCTACTCAAATTTTGATGAGATCAAGCAACTTTTAAACCTTTTTTTATCAATCAATATTTAAGTTCTCATAAAATCTGAGCATCTTTAATTATTATTTGCGGTTTGAGGAATCGATTTTCTCCCCCAACCACAACTTTAAACTTTCTTCATTCTACAATAAAAAGATTAAAAGTTTTTTCAACTTAATGAACCGGAGATGAAAAAGATCCTTAGCAAGAGCAGGAATAAAAAAATGTGTCAATTCATCATAATCTATTATTAATCTATTTTCTTATGTATCACATAAATTATCAATTAAACTCGAGTCTCTCTCCGAATCATTCAAGACATGATTTTTATGTTCAATCTTGTATTGATTTTCCATTTTCTAAATGAAAAGATTTTTTTTGTGCTAACCCCATTTAATATGTACTTATAGATGTTCTCTATTTGATTGGCTTTGATTTAATTAGCAGAAACGAGCTAGACGATACTAAAATAATGGCAATGATGGAGGGAAAAAAATAAAAATAATTTTCAAGTTCAAATTTTAATGCATTTGTGGTAATGGAATTTTTTCAAATATTCGTTGTATATTGAGTATTTTAAACTGATTGATGGGTTAGTAAAAATTAGACAGTAAATTGGTATTAAACATGATGGATTGACAGATTAAGATCAGTTACTTGAGATGAAGTAAACTTTTGACTAAACTATGCTTTTGGTATTGGAATTCTTGATTGAATTGATTGTCTTGGCAACATATTAAAATTTAAAATTTTAACGACTTTTCAAATTTAAATGTCAACGAATAATTAGAATTCAAATTTAATCGACTTTCTAAAATTCAAATTTTAACGATTTTGTTAAATTCAAATTTATTTGACTTTCTAAAATTTAAATTTAATCGTCTTTTTAAAATTCAAATTTCAAAAAAAAAAATTAAATTCAATTTTAACGACTTTTTAAAATTCAAATTTTAAGATCTCTTTAACATTCAAATTTTAACAATTTTGAAAATTAATAATTCACCGGATTTTTTTAATAAACAGTTGACTAAACAGTCAACTCTTTCAAACACATTCAAATTCCAACAATTTTAAAAAAATCTAACCTTAAAACAATTTTAAAAAAATTTAAAAAAAAACTCCAGCATGAAATCATTCCAACTCCCCATCGATTTCATTCGCAAAATTCAATTTCCAGTTTTCCAGTCAATTCCCATTCCAATACACCTTCCACAAAATCACAAAATCACAAGACCATCCATGACGTAAATTCTTCTTGTTAAATTTTAAAATCCCACGCATCAAAAATATCTAAAATCATCATAGATTTAAAACAAGACATGATAACGTCAGATGTATAATGAAATATCTTTGACGTATAAACTTTTATTCTTCTAAGAAATAGCAATCAATTTGTAGGTACGAACAAACAATTCTGCAATATTTTAAATGTATTGTTTTGTCAGACGTAGAATAACAGTTACAGAGAATTGCGTATTGTGTGGGCTTTGGATTATCAGATGGAAAAAACTTTCCCGATAATTAAATAGATACTCAGTGGTTTTTGTTGTAATTTAATTACGTCATGAGAAATGGCTAGCGGTAATGCAAAATTATTTAATATACTGTGGCATATTCTGTTGAATATGTGTGTGGGATGCAGCAGGAAGAAGATTGTTTGTTTTGAATATGGAATAGATATTCATTCATTTTTTGATAGGGTTAGAATAGTAGGATGTGGTGGGATGGAGATTTTGTTAGAAAATTTATGAATTGCTCTTAATTTAGCTGAGTTTGGAGTTCTAATTTAGATTTTTCTGTTTATTAAGACTGTAAATTACAGAAAACATTAGTTATCTAGGCATTGTTAGCGACACAAGACTTAATTTGGTTCTATATGTCCACTAGAAGCATCTGGTGTATTTAGTGTCAAAATCATTATCCCTCATTAAATTTAATGATTTGACAGTATTTATATGGTCATTTCTGGTAGGAATTGAACTTGAACCTTAACGAGAAATGGAACTGCAATCAGTAAATGAACGACCTTATAGGTTGCAGAGTTCTTGTGGCTTTCCATGTTCTAATGTTAGCAAATTTGCGTTAAAACTCCAGATTTTACTGCAGATACTAGTATTGCGCACTAGTGCTGTGAGTTTACGTCCGAAATAAGGGCTAAGTTTAGAATCTGCATTCTTATAATAGTGAGACGGCAAAATATTCATTATTATCGTCAAGCAATACATTATATCAAAAGCCATAGTAGCTTCCAGTCCATTGTCCTCATTTATTCCTCAAAAGCATTGCATATACA